AAAAAGCCGGGGCTAGTAAATCAAAAGAAACACCTCACCCGAGAAACCAAGCACACGTTCATTCATTTCTGGGTCCGCATTACTCCGCAGTCGAGAACCAAAGCTTCGGTCCGCAGATCCAATCGCAGGTGCAGCAACGCCTCTGGACGGAAGAAGCAGAGGAAGAGGCAGGGCTGGACTGGACTGCAAGCGGAGTGTCACCTTGGGTTTGTTTGGGAGACCCTCAAAATACCACCCTCAATAAGAAGCTTGAATACTGAAAGTTGGCAAATGGTTGGCTTCCCTTTTCAAAATAAAGACAATGCCCCGAAGAAGCAGAAGAAGATGGCATCAGAAGCAGTTCAGCAGATTATCAAACCGTTTTGTTTCTCGTTTTTTCCCCCAAAAAAATAGTCGCACCCGGACATGGCCACGGGCTTCGGGGCGCCGCTCTTGCCAGAAGTATCACATCGGACAGGGACAGATTTGCTGACCGAGCGAATCTAGCAATGAACCTGGCACCCACGGGGAAAAAACAACGGACACTTGTTCAGATCTTGAGTGCCTTTGCAAAAAACCTATCGCCAAAAAAGTCAGAGTACACACAAAAATCAAACCAACGCTCCTGGGTTGGATGTTTGAACGCAGCTCTTGATGGCTATTTGGGGCTTTTTTTGGTTGAAATAGCTCGGAATTTTAGTTGGACCCAACAACAAGTGCAAAGCGTTTTGCAGAGGGGCTGTTGCAGCAACCAAGAGTTTGCCCAAGACACTGGAGCTTACCAGGGAGAACAAGTCGGTCTTTCTTTCTTCGTTTACGCATTGGGATCTGCCCCTTCTGGATTTGCACATGGCTGTGGGTCAAAAATGGGTACCCAAAATGGGTACCCAAAATGGCGATCTTACGTGCCAGCGAAGCGACCTGAAATGACAAATGTTGGCTTTCCCTTTTTAGTCAGGGCCCCAAAAAGACTTTTGATCTTTTCTTTCCCGGTCCAAGCTTGCTTTTAGTTGTCAAAGAAGGAAACCCTGGCTTCATATGGGTATGGGTCAAGATTAATCCACCAAAAAAACCGCAGGTTCTAGTCCATGTTTCCACTCACCAGGGTTCCATTTTGGAGTTGCTCTATTTTTGACCCACCGCCATATTTTCCTTTGCCGACATCCAACTGATTCGGTTGGGGTCCAGACCGCCGGACTTCGGTCGAGGCCTTGCGGGGGCGGGTGCAGAGCCTGCAAAGCAGGGCTTCCTAGTGCGAGTTTGCGCTCTGATGGTCAGGTATGCCGGGGGTGGTTTGGATTTGGTTTGGATTTGGTTTGGATTGGTTTTGTTTTGGATCGGTTTGGATTTGGATTGGTTTGGATTTGGTTTGGATTGGTTTTGTTTTGGATCGGTTTGGATTTGGATTGGTTTGGATTTGGTTTGGTTTTGATTTGGTTTGGATTTGGATTTGGACCCCTGGTTCTTGCACAGGGTAAATGGGTATTTCTCAAAGTCATCCAGGAAGGTAGGCTCCTTTTGGTTTCAAAAAGACGTACTTCATTTTGAGACACACACACACCCTCAACCACACCACCCGGCTCCAAACACGCCTTTTTCAGGGAAGCTGAGATAGGACTCCTATGTGCGTTTTCTTATGGGAATTATTTTCGACTGGATCCCTTTTTTGGCGTGGAGTAGGGGAAACCAGAAAAGCGTGGGGGACCCCCTTTTTTTGGGCACAATATGTTCATCATGGATTCCAGACGTGTTCCATTGGGCATGTGTCAGGGGTCCTTATATGTCCCCTTGGTGATTTGACCATCTTCTCAGAGGGTTGATTGAGTTTCCTTGTGGGGGGGATGTTAGGGATAACGGCAAGCTTGCTTGAGGCTCCTGCCATCGGAAACCAGCTGTGCCAGAAGTTGTGATTGAAAGTGTTTGCCTCCAAAGGGTCCGACATGTCCAGAGTTTCTTTAACAAGATCTACATATCTTTGGTGCATTTTGCTTGGATGTTAGGAGCTTTAACCTTTTTCCAACTAATGGGTTTTCCATTAAACCACTACAAGTTAATGTTTTAGCAGGGGAGCAGAAAGCAACCGAGAGATGTTTGTATATCGCCCGGGAAACATGCTGAACATGTCTGAAGCTGTGTTGTGTATTTGGGGCGTACTTCGCCGTGAGGCAAAGCTTTGCCGCAAAACGTGGACCAGTGGTGCCGATGGGTTCCACTGGTTTAGACGGGTATAGATGGGTTTCCCCGATTGCCAGGGAAACCCAACTAGTTGTTTCAACATTTAGTGCCCTTTTCTCCTTTTTTTAAATGTGGGGTTCCCTTCAAAACCAAACCAAAGTCCTTTGCAATCTGAGTTCCTTTTTTCGGCTCCGGGCTCCTTTTGCTTTCCAAGACGTTCGACCTTTACCAAGTCTTACCCTCCGAACCATGGAAGCTGACACGGGGCTGAAAGACTACTTTGCTTTTCAGGAAGCCTTCCAGTCCACTTGAAGAATGATCGGATGGAGGGTGCCTTGTGGTTGAGCCCAAAAACCGAAAGCTGCATCCGGCCAGTCTGAGGAGAGCTACGTGAGGTCCAGCGAGGGGTGCAAGTGCAGGTGGCACAGAAAGAGCAGCAGATGACGGAGGAGATCCAGGTGAGCCGCAAAAAAAACAGAGAACATTGTCTCGGAATAGGGGGGACCCTATGTTTGAGGAACCGCCATATGCATTTGACTCATGGGATCTGAAAGTCATGTGAGCCACGTCATCAACAGCGGTTCTGGTAGATGAAAGTTAATGCAGGAGAATCCCTGTGCCATGCATGGGTGCGATTTTTATTCTTGAAGCATGGTTCCGAAGACAAGTTGTGCAGCTCCGAAATCTCGTATGGGGGAGTGCTCCTTACCTCAAACGAACGAGCAAATGTTGGTTTGGTGTCCTTGGCTTTCCTTGAAGGCCCATGTTCTTCCAGGTTTCTGGGAGCAATCTTGAGCGCCTTTAGGCTTCATGTTGTGCAGCGCCACGGTATATTCTGCCTGATTCATAGCAAGCTCCGGTAGTACCCCCAGCTCACCCTGCCACTCTCTTGTTTTTTTTCTTGTTTTTTTCTTCTTCTGGTGACCATGGCTTCACTATGACCATTGTGACCCTGTGAGCATAGATCAGTTGAACATCGATGGCACGTTCAGTCTGGTGTTTGAATTGTTTTCCCATGTCCCGTTCTCTTGTCTTGGGTTGCTAGGGGGCAGGTGCGGCGCTCGAGGGGAGCTGCTATCCAGGTGCAGCACGCGCACGTCGCACAGCTGCGGCAACGGGCGCGCAGCCAGGAGGATGGGCAATTGGATTCGTAGCTCAGGTCTCTCACACCACATGACCGGTCACCCCTTTTCCAACAATCGACGTGGACAAGAGGCTGTCTTTCAAACCAGTCCATTCCCATGATTGTTGGAAAGAGGGAACTGACTGAATGGAACATCGCCCATTATCTTTTGCAGCATGTGTATTGATGTTGGAAACGTTCTCCAGGAGCTTGGGAGTGCAAGAAAGGCCTTGCAGGCCCAAAACGCAGCATGGCTGTAAGAGTAAGAGGTTTCTCTTCTTGTTCGGTTGCATCTGTAGCGTGGTGTAGTGATGCCATGTATCAATGTTTGTTTCTGGTGTTGTGGTTAGCTTTGCCTGGCGGTTGCTTCTGGGTTCGGTGCCGGGTTTGAAACAGCCTGGGTAGATTACCAGTGATGCTGGCGGCGTTCTTCCCAGCGAGCCCACTGGACCTGGTAGATATGAGAACACTTGGTATATCTGCTCCATGATTTCGCGAAACGCATCGTAGATGTGTCCTCCCCAGCTTTAGGTCTCGCCGTTTGGCTTCAACCATCATCATCTTGGCCCACAGGGTACCTTTCTTTCAAGGTTAGAGGTTGTTTTTGTGATGGTGACCCTCAAACCACTGGGCCAGGGGGGTAATGGGATATACAGCCACTACAGCAACAACGTTTTCCCCTGGCCCCGGGGACGGATCATCGGATCCTGTGTCCGACTTGCGAGGTGACCTCAATGCCCGAGGCTGTGTTCACCTCCTTTTCTCTGGATGTAACTGGTTGGTCCGAGCGTTCCGGGTTTTTGGACACTACCACTTTGTGAAGCCATCATGCTAGTAGTAAAAAAGCACCATCAACAACAAAACAACAAATCAACTAAACAAACAACCAAACTGCCAAACTATCAAACAAGCAAACAAACAAATAAACAAACAAACCCAACAAACTAAATAAACATCAACCAACAAGCACACGATAACAATTTGTTTTATCAGTTTACAGTCGTAGCAGTCGAAGTACTAATGGTAGTAGTAGTAGTAGCAGCAGCAGCAGCAGCAGTAGTAGTAGCCAAGCGCCAGATGCGTTTTTCTGGCCCTCGAGGGAGAAAAGCTCCAGGAGCAGGAGCGGGTGTTGCTGCAGGAGCTGAAGGAGACAAAGATTCGGTCGCATTGTCGGTCAGTCGGCCATGCGCCGGGTTTGGCTGTGTGGGTTGAGACAGAGCCATGGGGGGAATGCGGGAAGAGGTGGGAATATGGTTTGAACCATGGATTGATATTTGGGTGTGGCTCCTTTTTGTTGTAGTTGGTACCCATTTTCTTGCTGCGAGAGATGCTGGCTCACCGAGATAAACCAACTGGTGGCTTCCTTTCAGCAAACCAAAGCATGGGTTCATTCCCTCATTCCCTGCTGAGCACCAGCAAGTGATTTTTCGAGGTGGTTCGGTTTTGTTTGCTATGGGGACACCAGGAGCATCTGTCTGCGGGGATGCCCTATTCTGCCACACGTACACACGTTTTGTTTTGGTGGTTTCATTGCCAGACTTGTGCCCTCCATTTAAAGTTGTTTTCAGAAGGTTTGCTTCAAGGTCTGAATCTGGAAAAGTGATGATTCAAGGCTGAATGGTTTGGCGCCGGGGCCCCTTGAAAGTGGGTTTTTTGGGAACAATTCTGCCATTTGGAATAATTCAGCCGTTGTGAGTTGAGCATTGAGCTTCGTGAAGAGCCAATGGTTTGTTTCTACAATCCGCCGAGGGATCCGCACCTATCTCGTTCCGCCCCTATCTCGTTCCGCGCCATGGAGCCAAAGTTTCTTGGCGCTAGGGACATGAACTGATCGAAGGTGTCAAGTTTTTTAGGTGAAAAGGGGCACTTGCATTGTGTTTATTATTATTATTATTTTTTATTTAAGCAACCAAAACAGAAGCATCTGTTTTCCCTCCCCCCAAAACTAGCATTGGGTTTTATTTAAAAGCAGCGCAAACAGAAACACCGTTTTGTTTTTGCTCAAAACTTGCTTTGGGTTTTTATTTGAACAACGCAACCAGAAACACCCATTTGTTTTCCTTGCAAAACTTGCTTTGGGTTTTTCTTCCAACGACCAACAAGCCCAGTCGGTTTTTCCTAAAAAAGCTCCCAAAGATGTCACTTAGGTTCGAGTACCTCGTCGTGGGCGCCGGGCCTGCGGGTCTCGCCGCGGCCAACGCCTTGGCGGCTGCCGGCGCGGCCTCGGTGGCGGTCTTCGACGCCCGGAAGCGGCCGGAGGAGGTCTTTGGGTCCTACCCGGTGGTGTCTCAGTTGTTCAGTGGCCCCGAGTCTCTTTTTCCGACTTTTTTTTTGGTGGCCCCACTAAAATGGTCCAAGCCCCAAAAAGGGTTCCACTTTTTTTTTTCCAGGTCACTGAACAACTGAGGTGCTGAACGCGCGGGGCCTCGCGGCTCTGGAGGCCGTCGGCGTGGACGCCAAGGACGCGGCGTGGAGAGTCGTTTTTTTTTTTTTTTTTTTTTTTTTTTTTAATATATTGTTTCAGCCCGGGGACAATTTTATTGTTGTTGTCTTTTTTTGTCAGTTGTGTTTGGGGGGGGGTTTGACCAAAACGACGAGCGGAGTTTCGGTGACGGTTCGACCAAGGAGGAGTTTATCACGTCTGTTCTTTTGTGTTTTTTTTCTCCGCGTCTCCTAACTTGATGGCTTCCCCTTAGCCGGTTAGCTTTTTGTGTTTAGTGGGGTTTTCTATTTGTTAGTCACTTTTAGCGGGGGATCTGAAAACGGACAGCCTAGCTACAAGAAGTCCCCAGGAGGTGGGCATGGAGGTGAAGGAGCTGCACATCGTCCCGGAGAACCGCACGGTGGCGCAGGTGCGGGCCTATGGCACCTGCATCATGCGGGATCAAACCGCCAAGTTGCTGCTGGATAAGGCGGAGGCCGGGGGGCGCGGACTCCAACATCGAAACGTAGGGCGGGTCAAACATTAAAAGACCCCCAAGAATGAAGACCCAAAAAATTGGGTTGCCCCGGAAAATGGAAGGGCTGGAATCTGTGTTTGTTCTTTTCTTTTCTTTTTTGCCGGTCTATTTTTGACCCATGCCCATATCGAAGCAAGTGGGATTCAATGTTGAAAGAAGCTCCTCCCTCACTCCCCGGGTTCCTGGGCTTGGAAGGGTAGCTCAGTTCAGTGGCCCCGAGTCCCCAATTCTTTTTCTCCAACTTTTTTTTGGGTGGCCACACTAAAAATTCGGTCCAAGCCCAAAAAAGGGTTCCACTTTTCTGTTTTTCCCGGGTCACTGAAGAACTGAGGTAGTAAACAAAAGGTTCAGACTTCTTTTCTCCAACCCACTCAGAAAATGAGTCCGGGTTTTTTGGTTTCTTCTTTTGAGACGTAAAGCCCCAAAGTCATTCATTCAAAGGCCTCTGCCTTCCGGCCAAAGGCGCGGCGCCTCGATCCGGCCGTTCAGGGCACATCCAATTTCTGCCGGATCAGAGATGCGATTCCATCACCTCTGCACATCCTTGGAAAGGGAGCCCAAGAGTCATGGGGGCTGGGGGGGAGGGGGGGGGAGCCTCCCCCTCCCTCCCCCCCAGCTTCCATGAAAAAGTGAGCTGTTTTGGAGAGATTCGGATCTCCTTGTTGGTATAGGTCCGCCAGGATCGTGCCCTTTCTGACCCCGTGAAAAGGGCCCGAAAACAGACTACAGAGAAAGAAAATCGGGTACCAACTTATTCTGGCCTCTCTACTGGAGGACCTAGACTTCTTTTCTCCAACCCACTCAGGAAATGAGTCCTGGTTTTTTGGTCCCCCTTTTGAGCTAAAGCCCCGACGTCTGCTTTAAAGGGAACAGAAAAGTGACATCCCCAAAAAGGCCAACGAGAAGATCAGCTGCTTTTGGGAGCACAAGCTCATGGACCTGGACCTGACCACCAAGACCTGCACCTTTGAGCTGGCCGATGGCTCCCAGAAGGCAGGGGCGCGGAGCCGCGGTGGGAATTATGGCGGGAAGACCGGGTTTCAGGACCGATTTGTGTGGGAAGATCCACTTTCAAATTGTGTGGGAAGATCGGGGTTCAGGACCAATTTCCGGGTTTCAGGACCAAATTTTGTGGGAAGATCGGGGTTCACGACCAATTTCTGGCGGGAAGATCGGGGTTCAGGACCAAATTTTTGGGAAGATCGGGGTTCAGGACCATTTCTTTGATACCAAGCCTCGGGAGAAAGTCAAGGGGTTTCGCAATCCTACCCTGGAAATTTGTACGGAGCCCAAGCAAGGTGTCCATGTCTCAACAGGAGAGTGGTGTGAAAACTATGGTTTTCCATGCTACATATTCGTCTGCACTGTGGCCATGGCTGGTCTTTGGTGACCGAATCGCCCAGAGAGACCTTTTGCTCAGTGGGCAAGAGCAACGAACCCAGATGGAGGGTCCTCAGACCCCAAAATGGATGTGTCAACATAGGGATTTGGAGCCCAACACGGCGGCTTTCGTCCATCCCAAAAAGGCGCCCCTCTCTCTTTCTTTGTTGGGGGAACCCTGCAAAAGAGGGCCGCGGTTTTCTTTTCTTTCGGTTTCCCGAATCCGCCAAAAAGGGACACCTCCAAAAAAAAAGACCAAAAAGGGGCAACTCAAAAACAGACAAAAAAGGGGGCAACGCAAAAAAAAAGAAGACGCGCCGCCCTCAAATCGGCTCATCCCCACGTGTTTTTTTTGTTTTGTTCCCCGTAGGCGGTGGTCGCAGAGCGCCTCGTGGCCGCAGATGGCAACCGCTCCAAGGCGCGGCGCTTCTGCGAGGAGAAGATCGAGGGCTTCACGGCGGAGCTCATCCCGTGGGGGTTTCAGCTGCGGTTCATGAACTCCCAAGGCGGGGGAAATCCCAAAAGGTTCTCTTAATTCTACTGGGTTGGTTCTTTGGACTTTCACTTGTTGCTTGAAATCAAGAGGTTTTCCATGACACAAAAAGTGAGGAACTTTTTGCGGAGGGGTCGTTGCAGCAACGGGCTTGTTTCTCAAAATCCGGGGACTGTTTCCCAAAGAGATGGCCAAGGGATGCTTTGGGGTTCCCTTGAAAGACCAAAAGGGGAGTGTGGGTTTGCTTCTCAAAATGAGTGGGGGGGGCCAAAACCCCCAAACCCCTCCAGCGTGGCAATGGTTTCCTTTGGGGGTCCCTTACTTGTCAAAACGGTGGGGGGAACCCCAAACATGGCCACGGGTTCCTTCCTGGAAATTCCCTTCGAAAGCCAAAACAGGACCTGAAGAAACCACATCCACAGGAACCCGCTTTTCACCATTGTAAGGCTCAGTTGTTCAGTGGCCCCCTTTTTCCCTTTTTTTTGGTGTCTTCCCGCTAAAATGGTCTTCCCAAAAAAGGGTTCCCTTTTTTTCCAGGGTCACTGAACAACTGAGGAACACCATCTTTGGACGTCTCCTAGTTTGAACCCTGGTTGGACCTGGTTGGTTCACTTGCAAGGTTCGGAAACCATCAGAGGGATGAAAACTCCAAAAGCCTTTGGTTTCCCTTGGCTTGCCAAATGGCCCTATTTGTCATGGAAGGGCAACCCTTCAGGCGTCCCTGGGCAGACAGCGGTGGACCCTGCGAACCACTTCGTTTTGGGCGACAAGGGCTATGTATGTCAGCAGCCTGATGGTGTGTGGAGCATTTCCTTGCGCGTGCTGGAATCAGACCCTGCATTCCTCACCAGCAATGAAGCAACGGAAGAAAACATTCAGCAGCTGAAGGAGTACGTGCAAACACATGCCAAGGTTGTGGCAGACAATCTTTTGGATGATGATGCATACAAGAAGTTCTACGAGTGTCGTGCCTTTGATGGTGTGGTCGTGAAGTGCTCTTCCTTGAACCCAGCCGACTGGATTTGCATCATAGGGGACGCAGCCCATGCAGTGCAGCCAGCAACGGGAGAAGGCAGGGGGGTACCGGCTCAGAACCCTTTGCGACTTATGAACAGGACTTTCCTCGGAGAAGTTGCCCTTCTTTGATGTGGAGCTTTTCCCAGAGGGGCATACATGCGTGCTCTTTCCTAACGCGCAATGGAAGCCCTTACAGTAAATGTGACTGGAAGTTGTTTGCTTGACGACCCCAACCCCAAATTTGCCCTTTGTCCCATTGGAGGTTGGTCAAAGCCCGGGCCCCAAAGCTGTTTGAGGTTGATCCACCAGCCCATGCGCAAAGCAAAGGCTACACAAGGAGAGTAGCCTCAGCCTCTCAGCCTACCTCAAAAAAAAAGGTAGCACGGTAGTACCGACTCCAAAAGTGACGCGCGGTTTGCTGTTGGCTGCCATGCGGAGAGGCATCAACTCCGGGCTGGAGGACGCAGCAGTCCTGGGAGCGATGCTCAAAGAGACGCCGGAGGAGTTGCCGAAATCGCCAGCTTTTCGGGTCTCCGATCCCAAAGCTTATATTCTTTGTAACCCAGTGTACCAAGTCTGCTCTCCTTTATAAGCATGGCCAAAGGAGGTGGTCCCTGGAGGATACCAGAGGAGTTTGTTTAAACAGTGGTTTGCACCATGGTTACAAGGGCTCGGCCTTTTCCTGAATCAGCACTGAAAGGAAATCAATGTGCCTTTTATTTTGAGGGACTTGGGTTCTCAAAAATTAGCAAAAGGGGTAGCCACTTTGCCACTTTGCCACGGAACCCACAAGAAATCCCCTTTTGCAGACGAAACTCGCCCAACCCAGCACCCCTAAAAGTCAGGGTACGGCAACGTGGATGGGAGTTGGTACCACCTCCCAAAACCAGACGAACACCCCCCCCGACGCGTGGCCTTTTGGCGGCTCGGGCCGAGCCGAACCTTCCATTTGCTCATTGTTTTTTGGTTTAAGAAAATTCCCCTTATTGGTTTTACCTTCCATTTGCTTAAGAACATATTTTTCCCCTTGTTGGTTTTAAAGGGAATCGATTTCACTACTGGAAATTGTTTTTTCCTTTCCGCGGGGCGCGCGCCGAAGCGACGAGGATCCCTTCGGCGCCTTCGACGCGCGGCAGCGGCCCAACGCCCACGCCCTGCAGCAGTTGGCCCTGAAGGCGGCGGAGCGCGTGAACAAACCCCCGCCGCGCCAGCAGGCCGGGGACGGTTTTCGGATGAGCAGAGGAACTCGCGGTGGTTTTCTTTGGATTGTGCGTTTTTCTTCTCTCTTTTTTTGGAAGGTAACTTACTGATTTTACTGAATGAGCAGAGGAGTTCTCAGAGTGTTATTTTTTTGTGGGACAGCTGAAGAGGCACTTACGAAGTTTGCTGACTAAGGTTCTCTGTTGTTTTGTGCTGTTTTTGAGTTGTGGGTAGGTTTGGATTGGCGCGTTTGCATTAGATGCAAAACTTGTGACCCCGCAGCGAATGCGCCAAAAAATGAGCTTGTTTTAATGTGGTTGTTTCACAACAAGAATGCATCGAATTTGAGAAATCGGTTTTTGTTTTTCACAACAATGAGCAATTGGGTTGGAGATTCAGGGGAGTGGGGAGGGGCTAGTCCCACCATCGTTGCGGGTTTGTTTTTCAGCCACTTCCTGTGGCAAGAGAATCCCCAGTGACCAACAAAACTGTGCACGGAAGGGACGATTTCCAGAAGGGGGGTCCGTCAAGATCGTTCCGACGCCCGACCTTTCTCCGATCTGGCTTGATGAATTCCTTTGATTGGTGGGTTGGATTTGGATTTGAACCCCTGGCTTTTGTAGAGGGTAAATAAGAACCCCCTCCTTAAACACTACTCATCCAGAGGGAAGCTGATGTACTGATTATCAACTTGGCGCCGGTTGGGATTGGTGGGTTTATCGCACGTCTAGTTTATCCCAACTGGTCCGTTTCGCAGACTGTTTCCATCTAGGACAGTACTTGGGGTTGGTTGCCTTTCATCAGTTTGGTGAGATTCCTCCAGGACTTCAAGATTTGAGCGCGCGTCTGTTTGTCTTACTTGCTGGTGCTCACTGGTGCTCATGCGGGAATGAACCTGGGGATTCCCAAAAAAAACCATAGGAACCAGATGGTTTGTAGCCTGAGCACCAGCAAGCTTATTTCCATTAAACCAAAGGTGGAAATTCTGAACTTGGGGCCAGGGGCCAGAGCTGATCCGGGTCAGTCCAAGACCTCTGATAGTGTTTGATTCAACATATCACCCATGGCCACGTTGGACTCTGAAAGGGCTGACTTCCCATATTTAAGCCATACCTAGCGTTTCGGGGTTCATAGCAGGGGTTCATATATGAGCATACACATTCAGCCTTTGATTGATGCTCTCCAGGCGTATGCAGGCGTAGAGTGAGGGTTGGCGTATTCTCTTCCACCTGCTTTTTTGGTTGCACTTTGGGGTTTTCTTTGTTTTCCACGAACCAGGCAACACATAGTTGTTTGCTGGTCCCAGCCAAGTTCTTGTCAGGCGGTGAATGTCATGGTGACCATCGGGCTCCAGGTGGCGAAGAAGCTGCACATCATCGAGGGCACAAATCAGGACTTCTCCATCGGCGAGAAGGCGAAGACCAGCAGCAAGTCCTATTCTGAGCTCATTGACACCTGGCTTCAGTTATTAGAATGGGCTTGATTCCTTGATTCCCCATTCTTTTCAACCATCGTTATTTTCAAAAACCGATCGCTGTTTCCCCAGGGTTTCGGGTGGTTTTGTGGAACGAAGGATGCCTGGAAAGAATGGGGAAGGTACCCATAGAGTTGTAACCCTTTCTACTTTGTGACTTAGATGTGTCTTTCTTGAGGGTACTCGTTTTTGCTTGGACGACCAAAAGGAGAACCACCATTTTTTTTTATATTTTATTTTGGGAGGGGTCCCCTCAAAAAGGACGACCCCCCCGGTGTGTGTTTTCCCTGTGTTTCTTTCAGCCAGCAAATGTTCTACGTTTTGCAGGTCCAAACAGTCCGATGTGAGGACATGGAAGCTCGGCAGACCAAGGGCCTCCGGCCAGTCGCGAACTTCCTGGCCACGCTCTTCCGCGTGCCCAAGGAGTACCCGACGCTTTGGAACCAAGTTCCGTTGAAAGAAAGCGAAATGGGCTGGGGGGCGGGGGGCAAAAAATGCATTTTAAGGGAGCTTCCATGAGCTTCCCTTTTTTTCGCCTGAAAAATACGGCTTTTTCCGGGCCCCTCCCCCCAAAAAATGGCGTCGGTTTTCCCTTTGGTCGTCCTCAAAAACCACTAAGGGGCGCCAGCTCCAAAAAGAGACCGTGTGTTCTTTTGAGCCTTGGAGCCCCCTTTCGGGGGGGCTGGTTCTAAGAGTCTAAGAGAAGCCAGCTGAAAAACACAACACTTTTTGAGATGGGTCCCCTATGTTGACACATACCCAAATGTGTTTCTTGCAATCGACCTATCACAGGTGGATCGACCTTTGGTTTGGGGGCTTGAGCTCCGCAACCAAGGAAGGAGGAGGACAAAGTGACCCGCAGGTGCGCATGAGTGCTTCCTTCAGGGAAGTAGATTCAATTCCAAGCCATTCCAAGCCAGTTGGCTTCAGTCATGAACATTCCTTAGGGAAATGGCTGTAGCTCAAAATTCAAGAGCTAGGGTTACGCGGTTTCAGTCTTAGGTTCCATTTAGCAAGGTGCCATTTTGGGCTCCATGTATTTGAGCCACAGCCAAATTGTGAGAACGGTGTTTCGAGCTGGTGCAACGGGTCGTGCCTTAGTGTACAGCGCCTGGACTTCGCTGCCCAGCGTCGAGATGCCGAAAGGCCGTCAAGGCCCTTTTGCTTTTCCACTGCACGAGTTCTGCCCGCGCCGATTGGGCCGCGGGCGGTCCACAAAGACGCGAGACGCGGTTTGGTCCAGGCAGCCAAAAGCAGTCCTTTAGACATCAAACAGATGCAACTGTCGTGGATCGTGTTCGGCCAACGATATAATGGTACGGTATCTCATATGAGCAAAGGCGGACACATCTTTTGGACAACATACTGGACCTTTTGATTGGGGTTTATATCATATGAAAAGCACTGCACGAGCAACGGTCGATATTCACTCTCATTTGCTCCACTGAAGAGGACCACATTGGGCACACTCACCGGCATACAACTAAAGAATCGGGGGGGGTGACTCACCAAATTCCCAGAATGTTCACCATGGTTCAGATGCCCATTGGCACCCTTTGTGTTCCTTCTTTGGGGGAAGGCTTCGGTCCCCCACTAGTCTACTGCTCTTTTCCTCTTTTTTGGGGGAGGGTTCCGCAACAAAAATAGACTACAGAAAAACAATCGGGCACCAACTTATTCTAAACTCTCAAATCTGGAGGACCTAGTCAACCAACCAACAAGTGATGCTGTTTCTTCCCTGGAAGTCCTGGGAGCTTCCGGCTGTCTGAGGGAGTGCAATTTGCAGAATGGTTTAAATTCCCAGTGGATTTCCAGGGGAAGAAAAAGCATCACTTTTGGGTTGGTTGACTAGGTCCTCCAGATCTGAGAGTTTAGAATAAGTTGGTACCCATTTTTTTTAGGGGGGTGGAGGACCGAAATGAATTCGATCCATTTCGGCAGGAGCAGGCGGCTGACTTCGCCAAGCACTCCATGCCGCTCTACCAGCGGGCGGGGAGCTCATTCCCGCGAGCGGCGCTGAGGTCCTGGACGTTGTACCTATGGCTTCTGGGGTGTCCATTTGGATGGCTCCTCGTTTTTTGAGTTGGTAGTTGTTGTTGTTTTGTTTCGGGGAAACCAAAAGGGAAAGAACACCCTTTTTTGGGGGGGCCATAAAAGAAGACAACCCCCCCCCACTTGAGTGGCCACAAGCAAGCTTGGACTGTTTTCGGCCCCTCCACTCACGAAATGAGACAAGCAAGGGGGTGCCGGGCTAGCATGAAGGACTGCAATGCTTTGCAGGCCATAGAGATCAAGCAAGGACCTGGTGGTTCTTCCGCAACTTTCATTTGCTTAAGAATATTTCCTTTTTTCCCTGTTGGTTTTACAGGGAATCTATCACTACTGGAAATATGTGTTTATTTTTTTCCAGGGGTCTTAACCAAATGGAAAACAACGAGCTTTCAGTCCAACCCGGCGTTTGCGAAACCTCCGGAACGAGCGTTGAGGTGCCTGGCGTTGGTCTTTGGATCGCGGCGTCTCAAGTCCAAAAGAGAGACGATGTACTACAGTGCGAGCGCTGTATAAGAAATCGTTGGTCGAGGCCCAGCAAGGCTGAATTTCTTAGCGTCAATTTCGTCTTTAAAAGAGCTGGTATCTGTTTGGTTGGATCTTTAGACTTTATCTTTTTGGTAGAAACCAAGGGGGTTTTCCGCACTAAACCCCCAAAAAGTAAAAAACTTTTTGCAGGGGGGGTCAACAGCAACCAAGGTACTATACATACTGTGGATGGACGAAATCTATTTCGCACCGCCTAGGAAACCCTGAAATGATGATTCCCCTGTAAATACCAACAACCTATGGCTTTTCATAGTGGATTTTGTCCATCCACTGTAGCCTTGCTTTTTTTCTTGTTTTTTCAACGAGCACCACAGCTGGCATACTGCGAGACCCAATGAGGGCCCTGTCTTTGAACCAGGAAAGGTCTCACCGAAGAGTTGCGGAGTACATATTCGGACCACTTGAATTTCCAGGTGAGTTCCTTTTCTTCGCAGCATGCTGCGAAGCATTAAAGAAATGCGTCCGCAAGGCTTTCCATAGATCCAATCACAATGGTCGAGCCAAGTTCAAGAGGTGGGTCAAAGGGTGGGTCGACCGTGTTTAGTGAGAAACAATGACTACTTTGCGAGTGTTTAGTGTGTAGGTACCCTTTGCACCTTTGTTACAAAAGGAAAGCGAACCGCTTTAAGTCCAACCCCTTTGACACAAACCCATGTGGGTGGTTGTCAAACAGATGGCCCCAGTTTGGCCCTTGTTACCACTACCAAATCGGGTGCGTAGTTTTGACAACCCCCCCATGTGTGTGCCGGAGGTGCAAGATCTCCATGCTGAGCTGGCAGAGTGCCCAACGCTTAGGTGCAAAGGTTCAGGCGGCTGAAAGACATGTCAGTATCATGGTTGTTGTTGGGAAACATTTTACATTTTTGTTTTTTGTGATTTAGTGGGAAATCGATACTTAACTGCTAAACAATTAAATTGTTGCTCCCCTTCCAACGTCAACCAGGGTATGAGGTCCTTTGTGAACTTACGACATGAGCAACCCCATAGATTGTGACTACTGCGAGAAACCATCTATGGTTGGGTGTTCTCGCCAGAATGAGAATGAACCCTCCCTTGAAGTTTTCTTCAAGGTTCATGTCCAAAAGCCCAATTTAGAAGCCTCCGAAACGATTGTATATTTTAGGGTAGACTAACAGAAGAACCAGAATCTGAGCATATGATTTTCTGTGTACCCCGGATGTGGGAGAAGAAGGGACCCCCATGTTCGTGGCAGGGAAGGTAAGCTAAGATCTTGACCATTCCCCAGCCGCAAACAGGAACCGTGAGTTCATGCCAAGTGACCTGGAAACTGAGTTCGACAGAACTTGTCGCGCGGTTTGCTTTAAGATTTGGACTTTCGGGCATGTCTTGCAAATCATCGAGACCAACATGTTGGGCAAATGGCTGAGTTTCTTGCGGGACTTCTCCAATGCACTCAGTTGCCCAAAGCGACCTTTTAACCTTTTGCTTTTCCAATTTTGGTCTATCTTTAGTAAAGGCCCCAAAAGGTTCACCTTTTAGTTCCAGGTCCTTTGGGCAACTGAGTGCAGGTTCATGACTTGAGTTTCGTGACTTGGGCGTGGACCAGGCCGAACTCCTGCGGTCTATCTGGTTGGTTTGATCTGGACCTATACCCGCTTGGCTGTGGGTCAAAACCGTTTTGGGATCCCATTTTGGTTGGTAGGTGAATTCACCACCCATTTTGGGTTACCTATTTTAGTGGGGATTGGGATGTTCGCTAGGGGTACGATTTGGATTTTGACCATGGGCACTAGTTGCAAAAGACATTCCACACGATTTCATTGCACGGCAGTCCTCCTGCCCCAGGTCGGCGAGGCGGGCGAGGTCAACGGTTCCGGCCCAATGGCTTGTGTCCTTTGTTTTGCGTTGGCGGTGTTTTTGGGAGTCCCAAAACAAAGGCGGTGACGGGAACTTCTGGGTGTGGGGTGTGCTGTCAAGCTGAGAAGCAACCAGCTTGCGGTTCTTATGGCTCCAGATGGCTTGGGAAGGCGATATGCTGGATACAAGCTCATGCGTTAAAGGGCACCGGGTAGTTCTCCTTTTCGCATCCCTTTGAACCAGTCCCAAACAGGGTACCCTTAAACAAACACGCAGAAGTTTGCTGAAACCAATTCGCAGCGAAGGGGATATTCACGTGTTTCGAGCCGGACAGGTGCACGCTCCTCGCAGAGTGGCGATCTTGGATTCAAAAATGGGCGTTCTGCGAAGCACACGCTTGACCCACCAGTGGGCACGGTGCTTTTAATTGTTTCCCTATACAAATTGAAGCCATTGGGTCCTTTGCGCAAAGCCCGTTCGAAGAAAAGGGTCTCCGGCGGTCTCAGCCTTCGGTGTATGGCTTCAGGCAATACCAGCCCCCAGCACATAGCTCAATCCAAGAGGCATCTTTCGGAGTTGACATACTGATGCCAGCAGCTCAGTAGATTGCAATCTAAGAACCTGCTCTCTGCCCCCAAAACACAACCCCCCACCATTCCCATTTGCGATGCTTCCTTAGGGTGTTGCTTGCAACTCTTGGTAAAGGTTCCTTACAGGCCTTGCCAAAATGGGACACCTAAACCCTCGAACATTGTACACGATATACATCCCCATGTAACACAAACAACCAAACCTGCTACCTGGTGCCAAAGAGACGCAGAACGCTGGCAAGGTCAACTTCTAATTCAGCACCTAAGCGTGAACATCCTGCCTCACGATGTGTTTCAAAACCTTGATGTCCTTCCAGTGGTCAATGTTATTCAAGATCAACCTTAAATCCTAGCCTGGTTTGGCATGTGCCCATCTGATATGTCCAACACGCCGAAGAACGCAGTTGTAGCAGTCATGAATCTTGAGAGCAATTCCTTGCCGCCAGTAGCGTAGCGTTCGCGCTTGTTGAACGACCCCCGCTGGCCCGGGAACGAGCGAATCAGTGGCCCGAGTGGAAAATAATAGCACAATGCAGAAAACACGCTGCTTTGTCCACTTCCCCCCAAACCAGCGGAACGCGGGCGCGCGCCAAACCTTTCCTGTGCCAAGAAAACAAAGCGTTGATGTTCAGACGGTTCCCCCCCAAATCAGGTCGCAAGCCGGATGAAACATATGACGCGGCTCTCGAATCATCCGGTTTCTGCAGCAGCCAAATACAATTTCAGCCCTTACATAACCCTTACATCACCCTTAACCTCTATTTATCCTTTGGCGTTGGGGGGTAGTGGGAGTCATCTGAGTCTTTGCAAGAACCCTGGAAGGCCTGCAGTGCGTGCCACCAAACCTGGCAAGATCATGGAAGGGCTCGATTTCGAAGAACCTTTCCGGGTGGAACCATTACCAGTTCTCAGTTGTTCAGTGGCCCCAATTCTTGTTCCAGCTTTTTTTGGGTGGCTGCCTCAATAAGAATTCGGTCTTCCCAAGAAAGGGTTCCCTTTTTTTTTCAGGGTCACTGAACAACTGAGAGTTGGTTCGCCAACTTGCTGTGAGCTTCCGAATCTGGTCCGAATCGGAAGGCACTTGGACAGCCTGTAGGTGGCTCACAGCCAGTCCTGTAGGTCGACATGTGGATCAAATCAGAAATGCGAACTTGAGGACATGAGCCAGTCAACCAACCCACTACTCCAATCATTGAACAATTGAACAATCCCGTTTTCTTCGCGAAGTAGACCCTACAAGCTTAAGCTGTCGCATCTGACGCAAATAAATTTCACCCCGGCATCATGATTCCGCAAATTGAACATACGGCAACAAAGACAGCATTTCCAAGGATTGAGTGACAACTAGGGCAAGCAGGCATGCATAAACCTCATTAAGGATTTACGCAGGCATTGAGACGTTGTTTGATTTTGATCGACTGTGTTTCAATATCGCACTGTCCGGTCCAAGCGCCTGAGGAACGCTTTGTCGTTTGCAGCCGGTCGTTGGGTACTTTGGGCCCGGGCGGAGCCCTGGCTGTCCCATGGCATGGCGCGAGCGGCGTGGCTCGCGGTGGCGGCGGCCCCGGTGGCTGCGGCCGTCCCGGTGGACGAAAGCAACGCCGGGGGCTCGACGGGAGGGCCAGGTGTGGCGCTAGGAACAAATCGGTTTCAGAATGAAGACGCCTAAACATGGCAAGGTGTTGTTGTTTCTTTCTCAAAATCCGAACCAGGTTGCTTCTCCCCAAGCAAGACGCATCCAAATTTGATGGTTGTGTTGGTTATTCATGCGTGACAGCTTGGATGAAGGTGAATCGAGACCAACGTGTACCTGATTGTCCATTGTTTCAGGTTGGGCTGTGTTTGGCAGCCCTTTGAACTCATAAAAGGGCGTGTAAAAGGAGCCTGGAAAGGGAAGCAAAATCCGCACTACTATGTTTCGGACTAAGAGGCACAAAATGAGGAGAATCAGAGCCACAGATTTCACATGACCTTGCCGTGTTTCAGTCAGTCACGCACGCTATGTTTTTCAGATCATACCCATAGGGCGAAGGATGAGCACCTTCAGAATCAGTTTAAACAAAGGGGTGTCGGTGCAGTTCTGCCATTCACATGCGACACTGCTTTGCGGTGACTGTGCTTAAATTGTTCCAATTCAACACCGTGTTGTAGGCAAGTGTGCAAGTTGCGCACCAAACGCTGGGCGTGGGTTCCTCTTTGGCTGACTTCTCCAAGTTCTCGTCCGCGAGAAAATCTCCAACAGCTCCAGCATCCGTCACAGGCCTTTGCAACGGCCTTTGCAACGGCAGGCTCCTCATGGTGGTTTGAAGAGAGCTTCGAAGGGACAAACACCTTTTTCTTTGGTGCATTTTGCCAAGGGATGTTGGGACTTTAACTCTTTGCCAACTAATGGGGTTTCCGTATTAAACCACTAAAAGTTAGTCACTTTTAGCAGGGGAGCAGAATTCGCAACCGAGTATTTCCGGACGTCTCCGGTTCGGTCTCTGAATTCCCGGCCAATCCCGAGGTCTTGGCGCTCTTCAAACATGCACCGGCGCCTGGGACGGTCGAGAGATCCATTCACTTTGGACTGGTTGATACAGGGCAAACCCTAAACCCTAAAACGTGTCAAATAGGGGAACCCCCCAAAAAAAAAATCAGAGTGAAAATCAAAGGTCTTTGGAGAAGCACCACATTCCATGCCCCACCCAGCTCTTCTTTGGACAGCTCAGATGGTTCTAAACTTGCTCATGTTGGCGAGCAACACAAAATTCAGGTTGCAGTGACTTTAAGCTTGTCACCAAACTTGTGGATGCTTCTTGATCCAATTTCCGATGTCAATATCGTGGACATGTCACCATCAAAATTTGCCGTTGGATGCTACTCTACGGTGTAGCTGAAGTCGACTGCGGTGGCAGTGTTGTTTTCAGCCGCACTGCTGCACATCAAAAACCGCCAGTACCCGAAAATAAGGATGGTTCTTCGACAAGGCGTCCCCTACATGATTAACTACTTTTTAATCTGCCAGCCTAACATGATCTTAACCGTTTTTCGGGGGGAGTGTCGGGGGGGTTGACATGGTGAGGGGAGCACAGGTCGGCTGCGTTCCGAGCCAACAGGCCATGGCACAGGTCATATCCACCTCAGCCACCAAGGGCTTCCAAGGAAGCAGAACACGCCCAGCCGTGGTGGAACAAATTGAGTTGCATTTTTTGGTCTGCAAAGGGGAGTCGAGCTTCCCTGACCGAAAAGGGTACCCCCAAGAAACAAAAAAGGCAAATGCCACCCATGTTCTGTTGTGCGCCAGTAGGCGGTTTGTCGGTTTATCCCACCATTGATAGGGTTTCATCCTTCCCAATTCCATTTGCTTAAGAATACGTGTTACTTTCCCTTGTCGGCTTCAACGGGAATCTATGACTACTGTAAATATATTATTTTGTTTTTTTCCGGGGGCGAAGAAGGGTCATCGTTTCTTGTTTCCATTTTACCGGGGCTTGCGGCCATTTTGGGGAAACCCCCGAGTTTTGACCCACAGCCATATCTGGGCTGCCCGTTTGCGGATCCCCCGCAAAAAGCGACTAACTTTTAGTGGCTTAAATGGAAACTAAACACCAAAAGGATCTAAACAGCTAAGGAACCGGATGGCTGGGAGCCACCAAGATATTCGAAACGAAAGATAATCACCTGGGGCCATGACCAAATATTAAATATGGACATCAGGCAAACTAAAAACGCGGTTATTTCAGGTCGATTCGCTTTGGTTGCAAGTGAGTACCTTGAAGGGCGTTTTTCTCATCCATTGCACCTCTCTTGGGCTATCTCAGCTTGGCTTGGCTGGTCTGCAAACACTATTTTTGACCCACGCCCATCTGTTTTTCGTGCCGCTTCAGGGGCTCCGCTGCAAGACCCGGATGTTCAGCGCGCCCTTTTTGCCGCCGGAGGAGATGCCCATGCTGCAGCGCATGCAGCAGGCCGCGCCGAACGACAGGGCTCCTGAACAGAAATATATGTTGTAAAAGATACATTGTTTGCAACCATTTGAAAGATGTGGCTTTTTCAACCCCAAAATAAAGGTTGGCACCACCATGAACAAGTTGCAATGTGGTGAATGCATCCGGATCCCGATGATTGACCGATTGGGTTCTGGGTTTGTCTGCGATATGGTGGGCTCACTCCCTGAGGTGGGCTTTCGGCTTTTGTGGATTACCAGTTTTGCGGTAAACAGCTCGTGTTCTTTTTTTTTTTCCCGGCGAAGCCGCTCAGGAACTGAGACATGAAGCCCATGTTTGGCTTCTTTTCACCTAAAGGTTCGCCAATAGCGAAACCCGAGTCAGCCTAAGCAAAAAATCACCTGGCAGTCCCTGAGTTGCCATGTTTGTGGCAAAGGGGTAGCTTGCCGCTTTCACTTCTGGCCTTGTTGTTTTTCACTTCTGGCTTCCCTTCAAGAGTTTCGCAGTTACAGATGTCTGGTCCAGAAGACACGCATGAGGAACTGACAAGAGAAATGTGGGCTACTTTGGCACCATATTTGGCGCTGCCCACAGTTCCCACGCCCATTTGGGGCGCGCTATGTCACGCGGGGCTCGGGGCTCCTTTGCCACCGAACGCGTTTTGGGATTCCGCAGCGCAGACAGCCATGCCCTCCTTTGAATGGGAACCCGGATAAGTAAACTCCCAGGTTGATTAACAGATGTCCTATTCAGGGAATCCTCACACCCCATGAATCCACCAGCGGCTGACATGGGGTCGGTGAGTGGCGTCTTGACCCTCGCGCCGTTCAGGCGGCGCACTGGTGCGCGCTGCACCCGGGATGCTTCGGCGTGCAGCTCTATGACGGCGGAGAGGCGCCGAAAGGAACACAGACCGAGGCTACGTGGCTGTGGGTCAAAACCAATGGGATCCCATTTTGGGGTAGGTGAATTCACCACCCAACCTATTTTAGTGGGGATTGGGATGTTCACTGGGGGTACGGGATTTGGCTTTTGACCCATGGCCACACGGCCTGAGATGCAACACTTGCAAAAGTCAAAGGCCGCAGTGCCCCTTGGCCCCGTTCCTTTCCAGAAAATGGGTGTGGCTCAATTTTTTCCGGAGCTACAATCACGCAGGTCTTGGTGTCTTTGTTTCCATTTACCTCCACTTCCTAGGGCCATTTTGGGTGCATTTGTTTGAGCCACAGCCAAATCGTCCCTGGACTCATTCCCCGGCGGTGCCAGGAGGATATGGGCTACTGCATGAAATGGTGCGGCCGACCCCAGTGGTGCCTCTCACCCATGCTGGAGAGGGGGGGATGGGTTGAAACGCCGAGTCGCATGGTATCGTATGCTATGTTCAACGCTCAGCGATGTACTGCCTCATTACTTTCCCTGTGTTCGTGCAACTGTCAAACTCGGAAGGCGCGCAAGAGGGTCCTGGGGCCCTCAGATTCTGTGCTCCGAGCCGGCGCGAAGGATTCCGAATTCGTGTATTTTCTTTGTAAAATGCAGGGCGAAAGGCACACTTGCGCCAAAGGGAAACGCAAATAAAACACGTTTCCATGCTTGCGGAAGGGACGGTTGAGCATGTGTATTGGCCTGTTTGTGAGACTTCACCTTTGTGTTGCTGGCTACTGACTGCTTTGTTATTGCTTTTCGTAAGGATGTGAACGCATATTTCCAAGGTCACAAGGACCGGCGGCAAGCTTGAATGATTGCTGATTGCAGCGCACACTGCCGCGCAGTTTGCCATACCAAACCAAAATCAGCTTTGTTTGATAAGGATTATCTACAAGTCAGCCAGGCTAAGCACTGATGTCGGGCTGGATCCAGGATCAGCCAGGGACCAAATTGTGATTCGGCAAGATCAGGTTTCCAGTCCCAACGCAGCATCGGGTCTTTGTATGCCAGCCGGCTGGGGTAATAGCATCAACTTATAGGTTGAAGCTCCTCTACTCAGAGCTACAGTTTGCATGGAAGGTGCCACGCTGGAGGTGTCCACGTTCAAGCCCCGTGTTCACATAGTAACCGTCGAGTCATTGTCACCGTGTGTGTTTAGTCAATGCACACAGAAAGGAACGTATCAATGACACGAGTGATTCACTTAACGCGAAGCAAGTTGACCAAGCCAGGGGTGTGCAAAAGTCCGGGTGGGCAGCGTCTTTTTCCCGGAGTCCATTGTTTATACAAAAAGGGAACTGCATCATGTTTGCATGGGCAATTTAGGTGGGGGCACGTAGGCTCGCATAGGCATTTTGCATACATCATTGTTTTTGTTTCCTGGCTTAGTCGCCCGCGTAGGCAAGACTTGGATGTTTGGCAGTGGTTGAGGCCACATGAAGGAGAGTGGCTACATGGTAGCTATGAGATTTGCATCGCTGCGTATTAGCTGGTAAGATCCTAGCGCTCAGAAAGTCAGGCCTGGTTTTTGAATCTGTCTCTTTTCGGGAGGGCCACTGCCACTGCTCATGTTAAGCTTCCCGTTTCACCCTGCAGCTGCCAAATGGTGCACCTCGCGTGCTGCACGTACTGAAAGTTGCGATGTTGGAGCTGGAGCTGCCAAAGTGCACTTCGCATATCACAGTTAAACTCACAAGCCGCAATCGGGCAATGAATGACTCAGCGTGCAAGCGGCTCGCATAGGCATCCGCGTAGGCGGATGCCCCCCGCCAGCCCCTTGCAGTCGAGTAGGCTTTGCGTAGGCACCCGCGTAGGCGTGCAGATGGTGAACCCTGAGCCGCCTGTGCAGACGATGGCCAAACCGACGCGCGCGTGTGAGTAGTTTTGTAAATGCGGGTACCTCCCGCACATGTTGGATGCGTTGTACATAGTGAAGCCCGAACACACTTCTACGAGAACAAGTGGCGCAAGCTTGGCAAGTCTATTTGTGCTCAAACTAAACACGTAACGCTTGAAATAATTGAAGCCTATTTGGGCTTCAGGGCGCGCTTTTTCAGGGTGGCTTCAAGGGACGAAAGATAAAACCACCATTTTGCAGGGTTTCGGAAGGCTCCTTCAAAAGGACGGAATCAACAAACCAACAATGTGAATTCCACCCAGCCGACCGGCATAGTACCCAGAGTGTAAGATTTGCAAGGAACCTCTGGGTATACTAGAATTTGCCAGAATCCATTGCACCACTGTGACGCATGTCTCAAAAGGCTCACAGACGGAGCTTTACTTGGGAGGTGCCCAGGTGGCCAGCGCACGTCAAAATTCCAGACCCTGAGTGGGAGCATGGACAGAATCAAAGTTTCTTGTGCTTACAGCTGCTCCTTGCGCCAGGAGAGTGACGGGGAAACACTGAAGGCGGAAGAGTTGGTGGAAGACAAGCTGTTCTTCCTGTTTGCCCCTCGGCTTATGCACAGTTGCAGGCCATCTCGCTGCGTTCATTGACTGCTGGGTGCCTCTTCCCCTTTTTGACTAACTGATCTGCTTGAAAGCTGGTCCCAGCTATGCATGTGAAATGGCTCTGGGCAGTTGCATCCGCAGGGGATTTGGGCGTATAAATCCCGACCTCCAAGAGCCACTGCAGAAAGACTTCCTGGTTTTGACAAGCCCACATGCACCAACCGTTTCTAGGAGTGCCAAATTTAGGTGATATGGGTGCGTCCGAAATTCGGGTCTACAAATGGTTGGTGTGCTGAGTTTGCCATCGAGCTTCTGAAAATAGCCCGCATCTTGTTCGGACAGTGCCATATAATCATATATCATATATATTATATGCGCACGCTGACTTGTCATTGCAAGGGCGTTCATATGCATAACATGCATGATGTTGTTTTTCCATTTGGTTACCCACGTCACGATGCAACCACGCGCCTTTGTGCAATGGAGGTTCAACTATTTTGACAGCCTGGTTGGGGATGAGTGGAGGATCATGGCAACCATGCTCGTGCCTGACCCACGTGGCCCATGTTGAAGGGCAAGCGTCTCGCAAAGAGCAATGTTTGCATTGTTAAATCTCTTTTTACATCCTCAGTCTGTCAGTCAGAGATGTGAGTTGCCCATCATCTACTGCATCCTGTCGACATCACATCCCCATTTGAATTGCTCCTGGGGATGCAAAGACCCTGTTCAACCATACGTACGCTTTAATTTTGCTTCCCCATTCTTTTCAACCATCGTTCTTTTCAAAAATCGCTTGTTTCCCCTGGGTTTGTTCAGGTGTTTTAGAAAGAAGGATCCCTGGAAAGAATGGAAATGGAAGGTACCCCGAGAAAAGGAGTTGGCCGCTTCAAGCAACGCACCCCGTGCTCGCAAGGTGAAGCCTCCTCACGGCTCTTACACCATGGCCGCACCACTGGCTGAGAGCAGTCCAGCTCGGTGGCTTGGTCCCAAAACGCCGGGGTGGCGCATGCGCGTTCCTTCGTGTGTGTGTGTGTGTGTGTTTTTTAAGGTTATTATTGTGATTTTTTAGTTGGGAGCAATCACCGGCCGGACAAGCCAGACCTCTGATTTGCTGTTGTCCCTTCTTCGGAGACCGAAAGAAGGGTGCGTCACCGGAGGATTGGGTGTCTCTTTGACTGGGCCCAGTACCACTGTGTGGTTGCATTTTGAAGCGTCTCAAAGTCAATTTTTCTTTTGGGGGATTTGTTTCAGTGAAACAACAATTTAGACGTGTTTCTTTTGTAGCATGTTTTTGTAATGGGCCCAGTGACATGCCTCTATATGTCAAAATGTCACGCGTCACTTTGTGCACCCAAGAGTTGGGGGTTGTTCACTTCATTGAGACCAAACAAAAAATGGGGGGGTCTTTGTACGGTCCCTGTTGCTGGCAGGCCGTTTCACACTTCCTACTGATCTCGATTGGGCGGAGTCAGCTGTTTGGTTCCGCTTGGAGAAAAGAAATACAAACCCGACCTCGAGGATAGGGGGGAAGGGCTGATGCACAAAGAGAACAGTGGCCACGTTGTGATCTGCTCACGAATACCGAGCTTCCAATCGGCCCCTCTTTGCCTGTCTTCCCAGTTGGTGCCCCAATGAAATCCCCCTTCTTTTGCCCGCCTGACTCCAGTGCCGCTTGTGTGTGTGTGTGGTGTGTGTCACTGTGTGTGTGTGTGTGTGTCAAAATCGGGGAGGGGGTGTTCCTTTTGCTTCCCTTTCAACCAACCCCAACACTGGCATTGGCACATTAAACGAAAACGCACTTTTCCACGCCCATTTGAAGCCTTGGCACTCAGGTGCTCCTTCGCAGGCCACGTTGGCCCTTGCTTCGAGCCAAGTTCCTGTCGGAAGCACAAGCTTCTCGGACGCAAGGGATGCCCAAGCTGTCACTCAGGTCTTTTTGAGTGGACCCCATGTTTGTGCCTTTCAAGGGAAAACAAAGAGAACCCAACCATGTTCGGGTTCCCCCCAAAAAGAGGCTCTGTGGAGATGCGGGGAACTATACTATCTGGTAACCCTTTGTTCATGGTTTCATGGGGGCTAAAAAGGAGGGAAGGGGGAGGGAGCCCAAATCAGCCCTTATTAAGCCCTCTGCTTATTTGGGCTCCCTCCCCCTCCCCTCCCTCCCCAGCCCAATGGTTTGGATTCGTGGTTCGGGCATCAGAGCCCCCAAAAACGTGTCCTGCGCCCGCAGCTTCCGCGCCCACGGCCGCGCCTTTGTCTTCACCGACGACCTGCGGCGCCCAGCGCTGTGGCTTTCGGAGGCGCGCAAGAGAGTGGCGGGGGATCTGTGAGTCGTTTTTGTGGTTTTTTGAGTTGGCGCCTGTTTTTTGGGTGTGGCTTTCAAGGAATCCCGGAAAATTTATAATTTTTTGGGGGGTCCCCCGGAGAAAAAACACACACACTCACACGTGTCAGAATAGGAAAAATCCTGAAATGTTGGGTTCCTTCCTGTTTCCCTTCCAACTAATCCCTAAAAAACGTACCTTCAACCACAGAGCCTTGGAAGCTGCAATTTTCGGAGGACAAGGTGCATTCTGTGTGCAAAACCAAAGGGACATTCTTGGCATTTGGCTCGTGCAGTCACAGCTTCCATGTCTTGCCAGCAGTTGAAATCGCAGTGCTTTCATGATGTATATATGCATATACAGATGTAAAGCCGTGGCGTATTTGCCACTCTGTGGGCATCATTCACTTGGATCGTGTTTGTCTTCAAGAATATTGCTCACGGAAAAACAAAAACTGACGCGCTTGCAAGCAGAGCTCAGTGCCCCTGTCATGAAGCACCTGCCATGATTCCGATTCGAGCTTCCGGTGAAGCTCTGGGTAAGTCGTTCGGAGTTTATGCAGGGATGTATGTTTTTTTTCCCCCGGAGGTTTGTGGCATGAGACACCAAGTAATGCTTGGATCACTCATGAATAGCTTGGCTAGGTAGAGTTGCTGCCTTTCGGCCGAGCTGAATCCGTAGGCACGTGACTCGGCAAGCAACGCAATCCACTGGGCCAAGAACACCATGTTATCTTCCCTCGCCCAAACAGAATCAACCTGCACTGACTTTGTTTCTCCCCCTTTTGGTCTATTTCTAGTCGTGGAGTCATAGCTCCAAAAGGTTGTCACCTTGTATGCCTAGGTCCTTTGGCATTTCAGATACTGAGTATCAGGCTTTGAAAGTTGCCGGTGATCAATCGGGAATGACCCAGAATTTTGGGAATGAACCTAGGGTGTCCCTTGAAAGAGACCATAGGGGATGGTTCATAGGCGTCATTCCATGTCTCATTCCCTGCATCTCTCGCGCCAGCACGGCAAGTTGGCTCGGCAATGCGCAAGGAGTCCTACATGGTGCAGATGCTGAAGTGGGCCACGCCAAATTTGGTGGACGTCGTACTCATCCTTCCGGAGCCGGAGGTCGCCACTGGGCATCGACGAGTGGCACCAGTGGCACCTTCTGCCCCCTGCTCGGCCCCTCTTTTGTCTCTCTCCCCGAGTTGCCGGGCTTTAAAGTTTTTGGGAGTGAGACTAGTGGCAAGCAAAAAGTAGTAAACAAGAACAAAAGAGTTGAGTGACCATTTTAGTGGTAAACAAAAAAATATGACTTTTCTTGGCCACTCCACTCGATGGGAAGTGAGTTGTTTCGTGGCCTCGCCAGAGAAGTATGGGTGTCAGTTTTTCAATGGGCGACCCTTCCGTGGACATCATGTAGGGGGGTTCGTGTCCACCAGACACTTTGCTGGGTTGGATGTTTAGACTTTAAATTTTGGGAAACCATGGGTTTTCCATTGAACCCACAAGAAGTTTTAACTTTTGGCAGAGGGGTCAACAGTCAACAGAGACCAAGGCTTCAGGTTGTTGTTTTTTTCCACCTCCAGAGAAATGGCCAACCCCAAAAAGAACTGGCTTTGGCGACCAGGGTCACTGACAGACTGGGGCCTGGGTCACTGACGGTTGCAGGGTCTGTGCATCGATCAGGTCCAAAGCAGGAAGCTTGACTTAAAATGGGGGGCCCAAAAAAGGGGATGGTTATCCAGGGCTCCGAATAAAAGAAATTCATGTTGCAACCATTTGAAACATGTGGCCTTTTCAACACCAAATAAAGCTTGAAACCACCATTTACAAGTGGCAATGTTCAGGTGTATTATGCATCCGGATCCCTGTTTTCTCGGACCCAAAAAAGGGGATGGTTATCCTCGGGAGGCACGAGCAGTGATTTTGCCGGGAGATTCGTGGGTGACATGTATCTTGGGAACCCACGAAAATGGGCGGGCTTTTAAGGGAAACCAAAAGGAAAGCATGTATGCGGCTTCCCCTATTTTGAGACATGCCCAGAGGATATGTTTGCGGTTGAGTGGCAGTGCTTGATCCGGGGACTAGCCCGCTTTGGCTGGCGAGTCGGTACTTTGGCCCAACCAATGGAAACCATCATGTAAAACCTAGAGTCGCAAAAACCCTTACCTGTACAACTGGATCTGGGCTTGGGACCCCGCCTTCGGACAAAAGTTTGCCACCAGGATGCAGCAGCCCCTTTTGGATCCATCAACCAACCAAAGCAACATGGAACCGGGAGGGGAGATTTACGCACTTCTAAATTCATGGAAGAGTGGGTTTGCCAGAACCAGCGAAAATTAGGGGAGACTCCCGAACATCAGCTCAAACGAACACTAGCAACATGGAATGTGTATCCTCTCCTGAGGGTAGCCAGATGGAGTTTTGGAGGTAAGGCTCTCTTGAGTGGGTGGCCTGTTTTGGGATGTGGGTCACAGAGCCCGTTGGCAGTTCCTTGAGGCAAGCTACCCCATCTCCGCGGAGCAGCGTTTGCAGCTTCAGGAGCTTGGCTGCTTGGATGTGGCGAGACCAAAGCTCCGAACAAATCCAACTTGGGCCTGGAACAAGGGTTCCGAGACAGCCCAGCCGTTCGGAGCCCCACAAAAATGAAGCACCTTTTCATGTTTGGCGGGTTCGGGATCCTCTAAAACGGCCAACACCGGCAAGCTTCCGCCTTTTTTTCTACTGGAGTCACTGAAGAGCTGGCCCAATGTCATGGGCCAGTTGCTCAGTTCAACACCGACACTTCAGCCTTCCAATTCCCCCTTGGTCAAGGCGTAGTCAAGGTCCCACGTTGACTTGTTTTATTTCCAGGTCGTGCGGGCAAGGTTGAGCTGCATAGAGGAAACTGGTCTTCCAGAAGGGGGTTGCACCAACCCGTGCTTGGGTTATCACCCGATAGGCAAGAGTGCTAGACGAATCAACTTTCGCAGAGCCGGCATCTGCTTAGCCCCTTTGTGTGTTTGTTCTGCCTGCAATGGCGGCCCTTTGAAGACAAGAAGTACCGGAAATCCAAACTGAGCCCAACGAACCGAAGCAGTGGGCCCCCATTGGGCTGAAGAGAGAGAGAGAGAGAGATGTCATGAAGCAAACCTACGGCGCTTCACATCACCCCAGCGCTTTCATTCTCAGCAGAACTTCCGAATGGTGTTTTGGCACGTGTCCGTTTGATGCAGGGACCGCCAAGAGTTCTGGAGCGTGAGCAATGGTGATTCATAAGCACCGTCCGCCTTTCAAGCGGATGATATGAGGCACACTCTCGACTCGGTTGGAGTCGAAGTAGCAGTAGGAAATGGGTGTCACTCACCAAAAATCAATTCTCATTGGACACGAGAAATATTCGACCGTGGCTCATAGGCTTGGCCAAACTTCCTGTCTGCGGTCCAATGGAAGGGGACATGGGGAGTCAGAAAATGTCCCACACCAGGGAACTCACCACTGTTCCCATTCCTTTATTCCTTGCGGCAAGCCTCGAAGTTGCTGACACTGGTTACAGGGGGAGTTTTCTCAAAATCGTCAAGTATCCGAACATCACCGTTTTTCGACCCCCAGCCCCATTCCCCAAATGCGTCCCGTTCTCCAAAAGGGGCCCCTAAAATGGCAACGGTGTCCTTTTGGTATCCCTTTGAATACCAACCAAAGGGGTGTGCATGAGGCTTCTCATGGGGGCTGGGGGGGAGGGAGGGGAGGGGGAGGCAGCCCAAATAAGCCCTTATTAAGCCCCTAACAAGGTCCCTCCCTCCCCCAGCCCCCATGAGGTTTCGCTCAACGCCCGAGGTGTGGTGTTGCACGAGGTGCCTTGGGTGAGGCCAGCTCTGGGCAAAGGCCGGCGGCTCGGCAACCAGCTTCGATTCTGGGGCCATGGTCTCAATGGTATCTAGGCCCCCCAGCTGGGTGCCCTTTTACCGTTTCTTTTTTGGGGGGAGGGTTCGGGACCCTACCAAAAAATAGGCTGCAAAAAGAAAAAAGGGCGCCAACTTATTCTAACCTCTCAAATCTGGAGGAGCTAGCAATGGTTCATGGCCTCATCGTGATGTCAGTGTTCATACTTACCTCTTAAAAACACAACTTTTCAACTTTTTGGGTAACATGGGCTATATGTCTGTAAAAGATTAACTTCCCCAGAGCCTGGAGTTTTAAGGGGTAAGCATATGTTCCCGTGGTTGCCAAAACATGCCGGCAAAACATGTAGTGTGGTGCTTGTTACGCAAAGCATTGGGCCCGTTGGAAGGGGCAAGATGTTCAAACAGTCTGGTAAGTGGAAACATGGACCAAAACCTGCGTAACCCTAGCTCTTCAACTTTGAGCCAGATTAGGTTCGCACAACCCTGGTGTTGGCAATCATATTTGAACATTGCTGGATGTACTGCGCGGCGCCCAAAGAGTTTCTTGCATGCAGGTGATTGCAGTTGCCCAGGGGGAGGGTACCCTGACAAAACCTTGGTTTAAAGGGGAACCAAAAGGAAGCCACCTGGGACCTTTTTGTGGGTCCCTTTTGAGGCATCGGCATGCATTTATCTCGGAATTCTTTACAGGTTTTACAAGGCAACCTACAATACCCTTGCTCTACTAAGGGTATTCCAATCAAGAGATCATTGCCTTTGTTAGTGGGTTCTGTATGCACTGAGCACTGTGCCCTGTTGGTTGCCATTTTGAGGGGAAATCACTTGAAAGTCCGTGGCGAAATCGCTTGAGCCTCGGTGAGTCGCAAGCGGCGTGCATGTTGCACAGCACCTGGGATCGGATCCTTTCTATAGGCCCTATAGCCCAAAGATTCGACGGGATAATTTTCTGAAGAAAGACGAGCGGTCAAAGAACTGAGGGGGATCAAGCACAGCAGCCTGGTGTCATGTTTGGTGCTCATGGTGAGGTGACTGACTTTTGCAGGGCCCCGGGTCTCTGATTAACATGAAACCCAACAAACCATCATTTGTAGAGGAATCTCCTTGGGGAAATGGGCAACTTGTTTGGGCCATCTTAAGTTGTGGTTGAAGTCTACCTGGCTTAATGGTTTGAGAGAGAATTCCATCTGAACGGACTGAACGGAAGCTATAAGGGAGCCCATTTCGGGCGCGGAGCCGGCTTTGAAGGCCCCGGCTCGGTTCGCGGCTCGGCCAAAGCGATGTCTCGCAGGCATCCCTCGCTGGGCGCAGGAGTTTTGGTGCCCGGAGCCCCGAGCGCATGGATGCTGAGCTCTTAACATGCCGGTCATAACTGTTCGGATCATGAGTCAGAGGCGGCACAGCGTCCGCAGGGAACAACAGGGGTAGCTCTCCGGGCCATGTCAGAATTTGCTCCAGCGGACAGGCGGCATTTTGGGATACCTTGACTCCTCGAGGCACGGTAAAGGCTTATACTGGAGGCGATATACCAAAAGCTGCAATGCCAAACCTTGCTCGGCGTATAGTCGTGACTCCACATGAGCGGGTGACAAATGGCAGTGTGCATCTCAAGGCGCAAGGTGACCTGAACCACATTGACGGGCATTGGCCAGCGATCCAGCGAAGGCACTACTAGGTCCCCGAGGATCGTGCCCTTTTACCGTTTCTTTTTTTGGGGAGGGTTCTCATAGTAAAATGGACTACAGAAAAAAAAAAGGTTACCCTTACTCTAACCTCTCTACCTAGACTACCCCGTACTCAAAGTACCCGCTTTTTTCAGCGTATTTTTGGAAACACCTGTGTTTTGTTTTAATGGTAAATACATCCTTTTTTAGTAGAGGGTCGACATGATACCCTGAAAAAAGGCCGGGTATTTGGAGTAGGGGGTATAGTTTGGCAATCAAATGTGTCCCCCACAAACCTAGTCAGAATGAAGATCTGCTAGTTGGCCAGCGCCGCAGACGAACCGGCCGAACCGCTGAGCAACGTCGACCCTCCGTATCAGAAGAACATTGGATCCTTACTACCAGGTGGACGACATTCCCCTACAGTTTAATATGAAACCCATCAAAACCCACCATGTCTTCAAGATCAGAGTCTCTTGTTGGGAATGGACCCGTTTAACGCATGGTAATTTTTGGCTTGGCACATGGCTGGTCTTTGGTGTGGCCCGAACGCCTCGTAGACCTCTTGGAAACACAGGGCTGTTCCAGTGGCTTCCCCCTAGCAGTGTCCCACGGATCACGGATTACTAGGGATCCCATTTTGAACAACCCCGGTTTTGCGGGACGGAAAGTTGACGCTGGCTATCAGCCAGGTTTTTGGACTTCACTTCTTTTGACGAAAAGTAGCGGCGTCACTGATAGCACATGGTGCGCAAAAGGAAAAGATAGACTAAGTTGTGCTGGGTGAGAAGCAGTAGTTGCCGCTGTCATCATAACTCGTGGGCTTGCGCTTATCACATGCTCCGTTCTAAGTTGTCATGCAATGGCGATGGCATCAGCTGTAATTCCTGCTGCGAATCATGAGCGAGACATAATCACAACCTCTGTGTGCGTGTTGCTTGAGGGTACCCTTTTCGGGGTTGTTTCAAAAGCCAAGCCAAAATAACACCCTTGGGGAGGCATTTGCGCTCACAAGCACTGACCATTTTGCTGGTTCGACTATGGGCTTCATGGGGTGGTTGATCAAGTTGATCGATATTCCGTTGAGGGCCCCCAAATGACCAAGGGTAACTTGTCCCATTTCGTGGGATAAATGCAACCCATTTGGGGTACCTTTTTTTGACCGAGCCATATGGATGTGTGTTTTGGGAGGGTACGATTTTGGGGTTTGTTTTGGGGGGACACTAAAGGAGAACACTCGCTTTTGGAGTCCATGAGACAACCCCATAGAGTCTCGGGTGGTTTGAGGCGTGGATCGTGACTTCTTCAAGCTACATGTGCTGGGACTGGACTACGATGCTGTCATCTTCTTCGACAGCGACGTGCCGCTTGGCACTGGCGTGTCTCAGAGCCCTGCGTGTCTCACTTTCTGAGTTCATGGCACAGGATGTGTGACCCGCTTCCCCAATAAGGGATGCACATTGACCTATTTCAACCAAGTTGGGTTAAGCCTTTGCCCCAGGTCGCCTGCAAGGATACTGGCAAGCGCAAGCGAAATGCCACTCCCCGTATTAATCAAAGCACCCTTTTGGCTTGGGGTGCACCACTATGATATGGCTGTGTGTCAAAACCAGTGGTAAGGTGCACCACCCATTTTAGTCTATTTTAGTTGGGATTGGGATGTTCACTGGGGGTACGGGATTTGGACCCATGGCCATATAGTGAAAAGACCCCATGATCGATTTCAGCATGTGCACTTCAGGATGCCCTTGCAGTGCTTGCCAGACGGAAGACATAAGGGGGCCAACCCAGATGTCCAAAGAAACAGGAGTCCAAGTTTGCCCCGCTTCCGGGCGGTCGCGGGCAACAGGTACGTTTTGGCCGAAGTTTTGCCATCCCCTCAAGGGGAAACAGGACATGGAGCCCACCTAGTTTTTCCCACCAAAACCAGACACCACCCATTTGTCCCAGGGTTGTGGGATCAAGGGATTTCTCCCCACTGCTGTACAAGGGAATCCCCCTTTATATGAACACACTAGTTTTTGGGGTTAGGCCCTTTCCTTTGTATCACAGATTCGGGGATTCCATTCCCCGCTCTGAAATTTCTCCCATCAGCGCCACTCTGCGCCTGGGATGAGGTTCGTGGAGCCCCAGAAGTTCCAGGAGTTGGATGCAGTGCCTGGGCTGCCTGGGCCGTCAGCGAGTCAGCGAATGGAACCCAACGTATCCTCTCAACGGGTCACCCCACGCTAGCGGATGGGTGGTTGATCCTTCCAGAACTCCAGAAGCACCCATGAATATGTGGCTGTGGGTGTCAAAACCAATGGGAATTCCCATTTTGGTTGGTAGGTGAATTCGCCACCCATTTTAGAACCTATTTTGGTCGGGATTGGGATGTTCACTGGGGCTACGATCTGGAGTTTGACCCATGGCCATGTGCGTTCGCTTTTTCCCGGTTTGCGGGAAAGGCCATGCACGCAAGCGCAGTCAGATGTTGAGCCGCTTCAAGCTGGGAGTTGTCATAGACAGCATGTGGCCAGAGTGGGAAGACTTCCAGGCAGATCAAGTTCTAAGTCCATGCAAATCGTCTTAGCAGCCTCAGGGCGGAATGTTTTGACTTGGGTTTCAAACTTTGGGCACGTGCCAACACATCTGTGAGATGTGCTCTTGCCCGCGCTGCAGCGTTGAAGATCGGCCTGCTGCCCCGCAAATCGATGTGCATTCGCTCTGCACATCAGAAGACAGGGCTGCTGCCACCTTGCAAATCGATGTGCATTCGCACTGCACATCACAAGATCGAGCTGCCACCTTTCAAATCGATGTGCATTTGCTCAGTGGAAGCTGCGCTACCCTGACGCTTCCATCAGTGGCGCGCGTCAAGGAGTTGAAGGTAGCAGCTCAACGGCATTTTGGAATCTGCTTTTTGAAGCTTACGGCCGGCGGTCAAGTGCTGGATTTGAACCTGTCCTTGCGCGATGCAGGATTGAGGGATGGAGACAGTGTCACGGGCATTCGGCAACTTGCCAAGATGGCTGCAACCACTGGGGCTTTTGCTCTCTTTGCCCACAGCGGCAGCGTCATGACTTGGGGGCATGCGGACCTGGGCGGTGATAGCAGTGGAGTACGAGACCAGCTCAAGCATGTGCACCAGATCAAGGCAACTGAGCGTGCGTTCGCTGCCATCCTGGAAAACCGCAGTGTGGTGACTTGGGGGCACCCAAGCTATGGCGGTGACAGCAGCGAGGTGCGAGACCGCCTTAGCCGTGTTCAAGAGATCGAGGCAAATCGCTACGCCTTTGCGGCTATCATGGAAGATGGCAGTGTAGTGACTTGGGGCGATCCACGCTACGGTGGTGATAGCAGTGGGGTGCAAGAAGAACTGAAGAATATTCGACAGATACACACAAGTCACCGTGCTTTCGCTGCCATCCTGCAAGATGGCAGTGTGGTGACCTGGGGTGATCCAAACGCTGGTGGCCACAGTCATGGCGTGCAAGTTCACCTCAGGCATGTTCGACAGATACACGCAAGCAAAGGTGCTTTTGCTGCCATTCTTGAAGACGGCAGCGTGGTAACGTGGGGCGATCCACGTGATGGTGCTGATAGCCGAAAGGTGCAAGACAAGCTGAAGGGAGTCCAACAGATTCAAGCAACTTCAGGTGCGTTTGCTGCCATTCTAGGGGATGGCAGTGTGGTGACTTGGGGCGAGCAACAGTTTGGCGGTGACAGCCGCCAGGTGCAAGATCAGCTTCGGCGAGTCCGGCAGATCAAAGCAACCAACGGCGCTTTTGCCGCCATCCTAGAAGATGGCACTGTGGTGACTTGGGGTACTCCGTACTCTGGAGGTGACAGCCGAACAGTGCATGACCAGCTGAGGCAAGTTCAACAAATTGAAGCAACGGGGTCAGCTTTCGCTGCAATCCTGGAAGATGGCCGTGTGGTGACGTGGGGGGACGCGAATCGAGGTGGCGACAGCCGGAGCGTACACGACCAACTCAGGCACGTCCATCATATCCAAGCAGCTGGTTCAGCTTTCGCTGCCATCCGGAGAGACGGCAGCTTTGTGGTTTGGGGTGATCCCCGTTGGGGCGGTGACGGCAGCAAGCTCAACAAACAGTTCGACAAACTCTAAGGGCCACGGTCCAGGCGAAATGGGCCAAAGTACCCACCCCTCGGTTGCGAGCTGCCACCAAAGGCGAGCCAGGACCACTGCTCCTTGCGCTTGCTATCCTATCTTTGGTCTCACCGCTACATGCATGTGAAACTGGCGTGGCTGGGAAGGGCAGAAGGAAACTCTCCGGATTTGTGGATTGTTTGGCCTTGAGTATGCAGCCATATGTTTCAAAATGTGTTCCGCTCGGCCCATTCCTGCTGCAAAGCAGGCTCACGATGGAGCCGGGTATTGAGAGGGCACACCATGCATGTTGAAATTTTGGCTGATGAGACCTCGGCAACAAACAGACAAACACCTCGTCTGCCTGTCCGACCGTCTGTTTGTCTGTCTATCTCTCTGTTTGCTCCCTCTGCCTGGCTGGCCGGCTCGCTGTTTGTCCGTATGTTTGTCTGTCTACCCTTTTACTTGGGGATGGGGACGGGATGGGGCTCTTGGCAAAGGATCCTTAACCGATACAATCGTTGCTATGGAGTGAGCCATGACCATTGGTCATGCCATAGGTCTTCGACTGCGCCTACCAGGCGCTGGGGAGAAGCTCAGAGATTTGGCTGTGGGTCAAAGCCAGCGGGATCCCATTTTGGTTGGTAGGTGAATTCACCACCCACTTTAGCCCCTATCTTAGTGGTTGGATTGAATCGGATGTGAAAACTGTGGCTACGGGATGTGGCTTTTGGCCCATGGCCATGTGTCGCAAGGCGGTGAAGAAAGCATCAGAAGCCGGTGAAATGAAGGTGAACAATAATCTCAACAGCGGCCGCCTGCCTCAGTTCTCCATTGGTTTCGGGCTTGCACCGGGCATGCGGCGAGAAACACTTCAAGAAGAGCACCCTGCTGATTCGGGGTTGGAATCCCCACGGTGTTTGGGTCTGGCCAATCTTTGTAATTGAATGTGACAAAGAACTCCTTTGATCGCTGGATTTCACAAGCAAACTAACATGGACATGAATCTCAATGTAAATGATGTCACACAGACCCCATCCCTAAAATGTTTATATTGTGCAAAATATGTTTTGTTTGAGGCAAGAGGGCAGGAAGGTTGCCAAGCAGAAATCATGCCAATATCAACCATTTCTTCCATTTGCTTAAGAATATGGTTTCCCTTGTTGGTTTTAACAGGAATTGATCACTGCTGGAAATATGTTTTTCCCGAAAGCATCGCGAAGGGTTCTTCCGTGCGGAGCCCTTGGACAAGTTACACAGAGCCAAGTTGCACAGAGCCAAGTTGCACAGAGCCAAGTTACATAGAGCCAAGTTACATAGAGCCAAGTTACATAGAGCCAAGTTACATAGAGCCAAGTTACATAGAGCCAAGTTACATAGAGCCAAGTTACATAGAGCCAAGTTACATAGAGTTACATAGAGCCAAGTTACATAGAGCCAAGTTACATAGAGCCAAGTTACATAGAGCCAAGTTACATAGAGCCAAGTTACATAGAGCCAAGTTACATAGAGCCAAGTTACATAGAGCCAAGTTACATAGAGCCATAGAGCCAAGTTACATAGAGCCAAGTTACATAGAGCCAAGTTACATAGAGCTAAGTTACATAGAGCCAAGTTACATAGAGCCAAGTGGCACAGAGCCAAGTGACACAGAGCCAGGTGGCACAGAGCCAAGGTTAGGTAGAGCTTGCGTAGAGCTTCAACGTAAGCAGCTATGTAAGTTAGTTTAGGTTTCTAAGGCGCCGGGGCGGGAGTTTGATCATCGCTCGGGATTGCGACCCTCTGCGGAGATTCGCGTGGTCGAGGTTCAAAAACTGAGGACATTTTACGATTTCTGCGGTGCGCGCGCGACCCTGCGGAGATTCGCGTGGTCGAGGTTCAAAAACTGAGGACTTTTTACGATTTCTGCGGTGCGCGCGCGACCCTCTGCGGAGATTCGCGTTGTCGAGGTTCAAAAACTGAGGACTTTTTACGATTTCTGCGGTGCGCGTGCGAGCCTCTGCGGAGATTCGCATGGTCGAGGTCAAAAAACTGAGGACTTTTTACGATTTCTGCGGTCCGCGCGCGACCCTCTGCGGAGATTCGCGTGGTCGAGGTTCAAAAACTCCTGGACCTTCATTCGTTACATAAATTTGTGCCCCTTGGGTGTTTCGTAGCAGAAATTTGCTAGTCCGGCGTTTTTCGGGGGAACGGGCACAAATTTGGATTCGAGCATTATTGCGGCGGCTTCTCTCTTCTCATGTAGAATGTTGCGTGGACACATGCGGACACATACCCGCAAAACGGGCGCAAATACCCGCAACACGAGCGCAAATACCCGCAAAACGAGCGCAAATCCAAAATCTGTAACAATTAGTATTTTGCAAGAAACCCGTGTTCATGAAACGAGCGTTTTTTGGGGAACGAGCACTTTTTGGATCATTGGGCAAAAATAGTTGCCCCGAGCATTTTTCTTTCGTGACACAAATTTATGTAACAATGGAAAGTCCAGGCTGAGGACTTTTTACGAATTCTGCGGTCCGCGCGCGACCCTCTGCGGAGATCGTGCGCGTCGAAGCGCTCTCGCTGTGGCGCCGTGCGAAATTGTCTTAGTCTCGGCGAACCCTTGTGCGTGTCGAAGCGCTCGCTGGCGCCGTGCTATTTTCTTGCTCGCGAAACGGCCTTGGGAAGTTGTCTCGTGGTTTGCGCGCCTGCTTTCGCAATCCCGCGGTTGCGGGTTCGATTCCCCCCTGGTCCGCGGCAGCTCCGGCTTGAAAATCGCAGCTTTTAAGTACAAACGTAGTACGCGGAGCGTGCTCCTGCAGCTCCGGCTGGAAAATCGCAACTTTTAAGTACAGACGTAGTACGCGGAGCGTGCCCGCAGCTCCGGCTGGAAAATCGCAACTTTTAAGTACAAAAATAGTACGCGAAGTACATTCCCACAGCTTGCGCAGCAGCGCTTGCAGAGTCTTGCGCAGAGCAACTTGCGCAGAGCAACTTGCACAGCAATTGCACAAAGCACTTGCAGCTTGCACAGACCAACGAGCAAACTTGCACAGTGCAAAGCAGCAAGCGAGCACTTGGCGCAGAGCAACTTGCTTGCACAGAGCAAGCAGCAACAGCAGCAGTGCAGCAAGAGAGCAACTTGCGCGCAGCAGCCTGGAACAATGCAGCTTGCGCAGACCACTTTCGTGAGAAATCGCGCGGCGCAGTTCGAGAGGAAAGTAGGATGATGAGATGGAGCTCTCATGTGACCATACACACTGAGCATGCCGCGCGCAGACACGCTCGCCGCAGCGATGTAAAAAGGTGTCTCCGCGGCTGGATGAGCACCTGTGGAAAAATGCTTTCGGGCCAATTGTCCTCTAGTTTTTTCTAGGGGGCTTACGTAAATGAAAGATTTGGAGGGGGGTGATTGAAGCCATTTGGAGCCAAGCGCCCTGGCATCCACGTATGTTTTTGCCCGGCGAGAAGCTGAGCGTGTTGGTTTGGCCCTGTGCCATCAAAAGACAAGGCTTCTTGGGTCAGCGGGGGCTGGTCAGAAAGAGCCTTTGCAAAGGAATGAATGGGTGTGTGTGTGTGCGCCTCTAGATGAGGAACACCCGTGGTTTGACTTTGATGTTCCCTTTTATGCCACCAAAAAGGCAGGGTCAACACAAAGACACGCGCAGATCCAGAATTGGGGTGTTTGTTGAAAGGGACCGAACAACTTTTTCTTGGGGGCTCGAAATTTTAGTGTTGAAGCCAACCTCAATTTCAGAAGTTCCACTCAAGAAGACAAACCGATACGAGCAACCGACCATATTACAAGGGTTCCGTTTTTGTGGTTGGGCTGAAGCGAAATTCCAGGGAAACCGAGTACGCGGGTGAGTGGGTGGGTGCATGCGTGCGTGTGTCACGGAGTGTGTCTGTGTGTACATGTGTGTCTCTGTGTGTCTCTGTGTGTCTCTGTGTGTCTCTGTGCGTCTCTGTGCGTCTCTGTGCGTCTGTGCGTCTCTGTGCGTCTCTGTGCGTCTCTGTGTGTCTCTGTGTGTGTGTGTCTGTGTGTGTGTGTGTGTCTGTGTGTGTGTGTCTGTGTGTGACTGTGCGTGTCTGTGCGTGTTTGTGTGTGTGTGTCTGTGTGTGACTGTGCGTGTCTGTGCGTGTTTGTGTGTGTGTGTGTCTGTGTGTTTGTGTGCGCCTGCGTGTCTGTGGTGTGTGTCTGTGTGTGTCTGTGTGTGTGTGTCTGTGTGTGTCTGTGTGTGTCTGTGTGTGTCTGTGTGTGTCTGTGTGCGTCTCTGTGCGTCTCTGTGTGTCTCTGTGTGTGTGTGTCTGTGTGTGTGTGTCTGTGTGTGTGTGTGTCTGTGTGTGTGTGTCTGTGACTGTGCGTGTCTGTGCGTGTTTGTGTTTGTGTGTGTCTGTGTGTGACTGTGCGTGTCTGTGCGTGTTTGTGTGTGTGTGTCTGTGTGTTTGTGTGCGCCTGCGTGTCTGTGTGTGTCTGTGTGTGTCTGTGTGTGTCTGTGTGTGTCTGTGTGTGTCTGTGTGTGTCTGTGTGTGTCTGTGTGTGTCTGTGTGTGTCTGTGTGTGTCTCTGTGGGTCTCTGTGTCTCCGCGTCCCTGTGTCTCTGTGTCTCTGTGTGTCCTGTGTGTCTTGTGTGTCTCTTTGTGTGTGTTTTGCTCTGTGTGCATGTTTGTGTGTTTTGCTCTGTGTGTATGTTTTGTGGTTTGTTTGTGTTGTGTGTGTGAGTGCTTGTTTTGAGAGTACCGGAAGCCAAAAGGAAACAACCACATTGGGGGGAAACCCTATTTAAAGCAACAAAACCATGGGTGTTTCCACCTTTCCAACAACTTGTTTTAACTCCCCTCTCCCGGTTTCAGTGTGACTAGCAACAAGAACAAACAATTCGCCGAGTTTCGTGGGGAAAGGCGCAAATCCATTGGTGTTTACACGTTTTTTCCAACAACTGGTCCTCCCCCCCTTTTCCCATTCTTTTCTGTGGGATCATCAAAAGCAACACATGTTTCCGCCAAATTGCCCGGGGAAAGGGCCACATCCGGTCGCCACTTCCATGGGTTCACTCAGAGAGGGCTACTTCCTGGCCACGGCCCTGCACGGCGGCTTCGAGCGGCCCGGCCAAAAGAGTTTTCCTTCGGTGCAACTTCTCAAAGCGGTGGATTAGCCAAAAGGGCCGCGGGTCAAAGCCAATGGTACCATTTTGGGGTAGATGCACCACCCATGTTAGTGGGATGTGCCCTGGGGGTACTGGAGTTTGACCCATGGCCCTTGACATATCCAGTCTGCAATTGGAAGGGACACACTATTATTTTCCACGGACACCGGGACTCACGAACTCAGACTAGCTCACCAATTTGGCCATCTCCTTTGGCAATCAGTGTTGACTGTGGCTTTCATGCTTGCAGTCGGTTTGAACAGAGATGAACCGAGTCAGTTTGAACCGAGAATGCGTAGCTTCCCCCCATGTCTGTGTCGTCCACCTTGACGACCGAGAATGGTAATCGTGCTGGTTGCTTTCGCCTCAGTGTACATATTATGATATGTACATGTAATCCCTTCCCCTCAATGCTAAACCGCCCCCGCTAATACTAAGTGGGTCCCGAAGGAAAAACATGTTTTAGCATTAGGGGTCTTCCCGTTCGTTTTTGGAGAACCCTGAAAGGCAAATAGTTAAGTCTTGTATTCTTTGTGTGGAGAGAGAAGGAGAGAGAGGGAAGGAGACTGCCAGGTTTCCAGAAGCATGTCGCGAAAGTGTTTGACTCTCCGCAGCCAGCAAGCCAGCAAGCCTCCTGTAAGACCGCCGCCAAAAGCCACACAGCGCAAGATGGCCGCTAGGCAGCAAGTGTAGACTGCATATCATTTTTAGATTCTTAGCACGCCGGCAGCGAGGAAGGCAAGGGGCACTTGAGCGCAGCTTCATCTGAGGCAGATAGCGCAGCTCAGCCAGCACTGCCCAGGCAACTTGGCAGGAAGACAGAGAGGTATGTTTGACAACAGCTAGCCAGCCAGCTGTGGTGTGTAAGATAGTGACAGCAGGAGGACGCAGCTGGCCCAGACGCTGGGCAGAGAACAGAAAAGGGTCAGAGGAGTTCCGGACATCTCCGGCCAAGAGAATAGCTTGCCGCACGAGTGAAAGAGCGCAGCCTTGTTCTACAGGCTAGACTACCTGTGCGACAGAGCCCCCAGGCATTGGCAACAGCAAGCCAGGAAAGTCACTCACCCTAGCAGCAGACAGCTTTGGCGGAGGTAGAAAGGAGGCAAGACGCAGCAGGTGCCTGGAGTCAGAGCCAAATTCCTTTTGCTTGGGTTCAGGGAGGCAGGCCAGGCGCACCGTCGGCTTTGCTTTGCCTTGACAGGTTTTGTCGGGCAGGCAGGTACCCTGTTTGCAACTACAAGCATAGCCAGGCAGAATTAAAGATGTTTTGGTAGTTGTTTCTGGCATGTCTTTATAAAGATTGAAAAGGTGCTTTGTAGCTTCATGTGTTTTAAAGGTCCTTTTGCGCCCTGCCCTTTAGAAAGTTGGTTTTGGGTTTATTAAGGGTTTCTATGGGTTTTAGCGCCGCTGCTGCGGCGGCGGTGGCGCCAGGCCTGCCAGGCATGTTAAAATCATGGGGGTTGAAACTTGCGCTGCTGTCCCTTGAGCCCCAGCATGTTTCAACTTCAACACCATGATATTCAAAATGTAGGGGGGTTGTCTATGAAGACAGACCATCGTGTCATGATCATGAGTGAGATTCATTTGCAACATGCCTGTATGGATCGGACCGCGCCTGGGCGCGGTCCCAACCGAAGCCGACGGCGGCGACGGGGATAAGGCGAGGAGTGGCGTTGGCTTGATCTGTGCGTGCGCCATCGTTGTTCATTGCCTCTTTTTTTGTGAACCATCTGGGCCATCGTGGGAGCTGGAGTCCGTGGAGGGTACAGGTACCTTCGGGAGCAGGCTCCGTGAGATCACACGAGCCTCAACCATTGCAACCTTATGGATTTATGCCCGAGGTGCTCTTCAACCTGATCCTGTTTCAGGCCACTTCGCTCAGTCTGAGATTGATTTTTTGGATGTGTAAATTTCATAACGTTCAACCGATGCTTGATCAACCAAGGAGGTGGCACTTCCTCTGGTGGGCTTGGCGGTGGCCCTTCCTCTGGTGGGCTTGGCGGGGCTTACCGTGTCTTGGACTTTCGTTTGAATGTCTTGTTCTTCTGGCCTGCCTCCGCCTGATGCGGCTTGGAGGTGGTGAAGCTCATCATCATGATGGTATCTTGCATGAAATTTGCATGAGCTTGTCATGACCTTTCTTCCAAGGTGGCGGGGGTGTTTTTGGCATTGACGGTGGCCGTATCTTGGACGAAATGTGTTGAGTCTTTAAGGTCAAAATTTGAGTGTCCTCCAAAATTCAAATGGCTGGTTTCTTGGGGGTCTCACTGTTTAAAATGAAAAAACCCACATGTCCCACAACAACCAAGGTGGTGGTGATCATGGGCTGCGGATCCGGCTAGCCGTATCTTTGATGAATTTCCCACACAGTCTGTCTTGTTTTCTTGATGTGATCCACGCCCTACGAAGGAAAAGCTGTGCGTTCTCATCATGAGCGAACCTTGGATGATCTTATGTGGGCTGATAGTTCATGTTCGCATCAATCAATCAGTCAAACAATATGGTTTGCTTTTTTTGGGCATCAAGCAATCCAGCCGCTGATGCCGATTTGGCTTGAAAACGGCGCAAGTTAAGTCATCCACAACAACATCATGAAATTGAAGTTTGGCAACAATGTCATTTGTTTGCCAACATTTTTTGATGAGAGATCCTGTCAATCCGTAGACTTAAACTGAGGGAATTTATGACAGGAACATCACCAAGATGATTTTCAGACATTCTTCAAAAACAAAACAAGCTTGTTTGGTTTTTCCCGCCAGATGCAAGTTCCAACAGGGAGCTTAGGGGTGACAGAGGTAGAGGTGGCGGAGTCTCTTCCCACGGTTGTGTGCACTGTGTGCAAAGATGCTGGCACGAACACAGCCTTTGGACTTGGGGATGGTGCCTTGGTAGGATATTTGGCGTCATGCATTCAAGTTTGACAAGCTAGATTCGTGTGTCGAATTGCTTAGCATGCTGAACCCAGGTGGCCGAGGAAAGAAATGCATTTGGCGCTCCCATTTGAGAAGTCACGGATCATCCCGAGCTCATCGTTTGGCCGAACCTTGCTTCAATGAGTGACAACGTTACTAGACCAACCACTTGCCACTTCTTTCAGACTGGACAAGAAGAACAGGGACGCCGCTTGTCAGATGACACACAGTAAGAAAACCACTGACACTGATGATGTTAAAGTTTGGTGTGATGCGAAAAATGCATGCCCACGGAGAGGAGAATTACACCATGGTCGCAGGCTATGTGGTGCCGCATGCTGCTGCCTTCAAGCACCTCATCCACTGTGTGAAGAAGAGAAGTCGCAAAAAGTTCAAGAAGGCACCTGTGCAAGCGTCAAATTGGTTGTGTTTGAATGAGTATGCTTTCTGACAGGTTGATGGGCGACACAAGCAACGCAAACTGCTGTATTTCCTGGAGCAAAGATCTTACATCGTCACTTTGCAACAGGACTCAATGACACATTCATCACATGTCAAGATGTTGACGCAGGACGCCCGGAAACATCGCCTAGCAACCTTGTACGCCTGCTGTTCCAGCAAGACATTGAAAGAAAGCCGCGGCTTCCTCGGCACGTTTGACCAGGCCAAGAACCAGGACCTTACCGAAGTTGGGGTGAAGGATGCAAGAGCCTGTTTATTCCTGATGTCGGGGCCATCAGCATCTTTGCTCAGCACATCATTCATTGGTTGACACGGTTCATGTGCCTGGCTAGTTGTTGTTAAAGCTTGGTATGAGTCCCTGACTGAGGGAAAGCCTTGGAGTTTCCGGGTGCTTGGATTGAGCAGTGTTGCACTGATGCCGAGCTAGTTGCTGGTGAGCTGCTTAAGGACATATTTCCCAACCTCCGAACAAAGGATGTGACGCATGTGACGAGGAGGCAGGGCCGTTGAGTCATTCAATGGAAACCTGCAAAAAACTTGGGTATTTTGAGCCCTGTGCAAGATAGCTTCCCGTTGCACAACCGCCGGCCCCTTCCTGCGAGATGTCTTGGACAAGTTCGTGAGGCGCAAAAGGTCACCAGCTCAACTATTGCAGTGGTGCCCGAATGTTGCAGAGCGGCTCCCCAAGCTTGTGCGTGAGCGCTCTGAATGGAAGTGCTGCCTGGCTTGACAAGAATTTTCTGAAGCAGGGGTACCAAGTCTAATTGCGGGCTGCGAAACACCGATTTGAATCGATTCAAAAGGCGACGGGAAGGATGGCATCTTGACGGCGACTGAAAGTGTGTCAAATTGATGTCAGCCGTGTCGCGAAGAAAAAACTTACTTAGGTACTTCGCATGAAGCGACTGCTTCTTGCACTGGAGCAAATCGCCAATGAAAAGGTGAACAAGGCGCGTTCAATTATCTGAGTTTCCGGCTTCCCACAGTTATAAGCCCCGCTCCTCGAGGCGGCCCCATTTGCACGGAGTTCCTGCAGACGTTTGGAAGGGGCTTTGCTGCTCGGCTCAGCAGACACCTGAATCGGCCTTATCTGAAATTTATCTGAAACACGAAACATTTTGACAACACGATTTAACAGCAAGCTGCATGCAGATGCCCACGATGCAGCATTTCTCCTGACGAGAACGGCCGACGCTGATGATGTGAGCCCGCAAACTATGCACGATGCGCTGAAGAGGCAGCTTTAGTTTTTTTAGCCTCTTGATCTTATGTTTTTGGTTTACCGGGGCAATCTGTGTTTCTTTCCACTCATTGTGAGTTTTGTCTTGAAACCGGTGAGCTCAGGTTTGAGAGATCGTGCGATAACTTGTTTCTTGAGGGCAACTGCTTCAACACGCCTGGGACCTACAGCCATTTCATGGGCGGCCTGCTGCAAAGCCATTGGCGTTGATCTGAATGGGAAGCCGCCTGTCATCAGCGGTAGCATGGATGCGGGCGCGCAGGAAAAGGTCCTGGCCAGGCTGCAGAACTGGGTAAAGCTCGTGAAGCAAGTCATGAACCTTGCTGTCGCGACCAGTTTGCGGCAAAAGAGCCAATCAAAGCAACGCATCAAGTCCATCAAGAATATTGCGACAGCATGGGGCTTCAATCAGGACACTTTGCGAGTCGTGCTGTCTTTCAAGTTATGGTTGGTGTGTCTTATTTAAAACCGGACAACAGGTTCTTTTGTCAACTGAGAACTCGCTGCAAGCGGAAATGGCGACTTTGCATCCTGCCGCCTTCAACTACCGAAGCCAAGGTGATACTTCAGAAGACGCATGGACAAAGGCGAAACTCCGGGAAAGGAGGCTCTGCAGCTGGTAACCTCCCTGCTGGGCATCTTGCAGCGGGTGGCCAAGGCATTCCCTACCCTCTCGCCCCATCTGCAACCACTTTATGCATGGGAACAAAAGTTGATGCGGAGGTGCAAACCGAAACAGCTCGTCCGTTTCCTGGCCAAGCAGGCCCTGTCCATGATCTTGGGGCCTCCCGTGCCCCCTTTTCGTCAGGGACTAACAAATGGTTGCCATGGTGTAGTGATGCGGGGAATCACCGAGCAGGGCCACAGTTGCTGCCTTTGACGTGGTGGAAGTGCCCGCCCCCTTTCTGGAGCACACTCGGCCGGCCAGGCGCATCGCTGCCTTGCTCCTACTGTTTATGTTCGCTGCAGACAGGGTATCCACCCACCTGATGGAGGTCCATACCCCCTCCGTACGGACAACGCTTACGCCGCCTCCAAACGATCCGCCAAAAAGTGGCCCTGCTCTGCCCTCCTGGAGCTCTCAGCGCAGGGTCTTCGCATCCCTCCAACGTTTGGGCGGACCAACTCACCCACTTGGACTTCGATGGTTTTGACATGCAGCGCAGAATCTCAGTGGTGGACGGATTCAAACCTTCCTGGATCCTGCTACCGGACCTCCTGACTCTGCACATGCAGGACGCAGCCAGTTTGAGCGAACCTGGGCAGTTGTTCTACTGAGGCCGGGGTTTTCCCTGCCAACCCAGAAAATCTGGGCTGGTGTTCGTTGCACGGGGTTACTTCCCCACCGCGATATTGATTTTTCTTTTAACACGGATTTCACGAGACCGAGTTCCAGTTTATCGCAGACTCACGCGGGATGTGGGGTATGCACATACCCCTAATCCGATTGGTGCCGGCAGGAAGCTGACACAGCCTGAAGGCTGTGTTCACTGCTCTGCCCGCCCCAGTTGTTGGATTTTTGCCACTCTCACGGTCTCGGGGTAAAAAGAGTTGAGAAGCGCGGCAGACTGCGCTGTGACTTCTAAAGGTAGTATTCTCGGATTTTGGATGTTCAAAAGCTGTTTTTTGGTATTAGGGGTACGTTTAGTGTGAGGGAGAAGGGATTATACAGGTATGTAAATATACGTATATGTATATACACATATATACATATACAGATACATTTACATGACATTACGCAAACAACCTCTTTGCCTAAAGCACTTGATTCCAGCCCTCGTTTAGAATGCAAGGATTTTTTGAGTTCAAGCGCCCCGTGGGGAAACTCCTTGAACCTCATTGCGCAGGTGCACAAACGGATGAAACATATCAAAATGGACTCTGGGCTCAGGCAACGGGTGACACGAGGATGAGAACCGAAGACTAGTCCCTTCTCATGAAATGAACTTGGCTTCGCTGACATTAGCGGAAGCTGCCCAAAATATGCAAAGCGGGGTACACGACTGAGATTCGGCAGCGCTCCAAGGCTTCCCTTGACAGGCACTTTGAACTTTGCAGGTCAACGAGATGTTGTTGTTGCTTTGACTTGCGGTCAATGTTTGCAACGCGAAAGAGACATTGGTTAGAATAGGCCGGCCCCTGCCTTGGAAAGGTTATCACTCAACTTTCTGAGCCTGGCGCATGGGAGGAAAAAGGGAGCTTACAATTTCTGCCAAGAAGGTCGCATGCAACACCGTGGGATATCACAGGCAGCATCCCCCCAGTAAGAAGCAATCAATGTTCGGAAGGTGGCACGTGAACCCAGGTGAAGGTTGTCAGAGAGCCTGTCATTCATTTCCCGTGGCTTTGAACACCCTCGTGAGTTCCTTTTTTGGGGTTGGGCAAATTTTCCAGACCCTGGGCCTCTAGGAAACCAGGAGACTGCTTAAGTGGTCCCAGGCCTGTGATGCCAACATTTTCCCGTTCTTCCCTTTAAACTCACCCCCGCAAAAAATAACAGAGAAAAGAACAAGCCCTGTCTTCTCCATTGTCACAGAACAAGGGCACGTATCAACTCCAAGAGAGACACCCCACAGCGAAAGCCAGCCATTGGGCTTGGTTCCAAGGGAAACCAAAAGGAAATTCACCCCTCGAACTAGGAGATAGGAGATTGCTACCCTTGGTTGGTTGTACAGGGAAACCATTGTGGGGTGGAGGGGGGTTCCCATACATCTCTTTACACACACGCTACGTGTAGGGCCCTGACCATCGCCTTCTTTGCACTGCGCCCCCACGCGCCCTTGCTGCGCGCGGTGCAACGCTTCCTTCTGGCGGGACGAGTCGCCGAGTCGATAGACACGGAAGGGATCGATCCGTGTCTCACTTCAGCGAATCGACCTGAAATGACCTTTTGGTTCCCATTTTTCGTCATGGCCCCAAAAGGTGATCACCATTTTTTGTCCAGGTCCCGTTTCGGGGCACCTGAGGTTTGGGCTGCAAGATGTGGGATCTTGTTGGGTAAGAGAGGTGGTAGGCTTCAGGATTTGGCTGTGAACTTTATTGTTTGGGTATTTGTGCTCTGGCTGTTTTGTTGATGGAGGGCTGTGTGAGTCATTTCGGGAGTTGTTTCCGTTTTCGTTGGCCCTTTGTTTGTGGCGTTTGGCGACTCCAGTATTTGTTTTATGCGTTGTTTCATTATCAAATGTTTGTTTTTTCTCTTCTGGTACGTTCTTGTCTTTCTTGTTACGTTCATGTGGTGTTGTGCACATAGTATGCATATATATATATATATAGATACATACATATACACATGTGTTCTGTATTGATGTATGTATTAATGGGTATTTCGTTGCGTATCACTGTATGTGTTCATTTATGTGTTTTTTTGAGCATATATTTGTTTGTGCATGCTTCCCTTTCTTCGTTTATTTCTGTCGTTATGTTTTTTTTTCCTTTTTTTTGTCTTTCTTTATTTCTTCGTGTATTTCTTTATTTCGCTATTTATTTCCGTTTTTCTTGCGTTGTTTCTTCTTGCTTGTTGGTTGTTGAGCTGTTCAGTCGCTTTTTGCCTCGGCGTTGGTAACATTTATTTGTTGATTCATGTTATTGTTTGTGGTGTACTTGTTCATTTCTTTGTTTTGATTGTTTACATGTGTATTACGTTATGAATTTGTTTGTTTGTTAGTTTGTTAGTTTTGTTTGTTTGTTTATCTGTTTTTTTGGTGTTGCCTCTTGCTTTGGTGGTCTGTCAGGACACGCCTTCGGCTTCCCAAGGATTGAGTTGCAGTTGAGGGCACGTTTGGATCACGGTGCGACGAAGATATGGGTGGTGTCTTTCAAGGAAGTTACCCCTTGTTCGTGGTTTTAAAGGTTTTTCCAAAAGCAAACTGAAGCCATTTTAGGGGTTGAGGTGGGAGGAAGATCTGGCAACCTGGTCTAGAATTGCATGGAGTTCTTGCTCTGCCAAAGCCATACCGTACCAACTGCAAAAGGAAGAGCTAAAACTCGAATGGCAGCTGGCTGCTATTGCTGTTTTGTGGGGGGTGTGGTTCAAACCCCGGATACCCTTTTTTTTGGTTCAAACCCTGTGTTAACGGGGCTTTTTCGGGGGGGGGGGGGGAGGGTAGGGGTTTTGACCCAAAAAAAAGCCCAGAAAAAAACCTTCGGGGCAGCGGGTGTTCGGTTTTTTGTAGCCAGAACTCGGGGGTCGGGGTCGGGATTGGACTGAGGGACCCCAAAAGAAAATCCATCGGGGCAGCTGGGTTTTCGGGGGGTTTTTCTTCAGACCTCCAGCTTCGACGACGACTTGGGCTGGAACTTGAATGGCTTCGGCCCTTGGGGCTGCCTCGATGGCGCGGAGCCGAGCCGCCGGCTGGACCTGCGAGCTGGTCCTGTCGTGCCGAAAACAGCTCCAAGGGTACCAACTCCCAAGGCTCTAGGCTGCTTAACGCACAAAGGGACCCAACAAGCAAAACAGAAACAACAAAAAGGGGAACCCAGGGGGCCACAGCAAAACCTCGCAAAAAACGCATCCTAGTATCTATCCATGTTTCAACGAACCATATTCCCCAGTAGCCGGCTCTCTCCAGAATATTGCATTGTTTTGCTTTCTGGTTGGCAGGGAATGAGAATTGGAATGACCCCCATAAACAATCCCTTGTGGTTCCTTGCTGAACTGAGATCGGAGCCTTGAGAAACTGGGCACCCCATCCCAGCATGGGCTCGACATGCGGCAACACGGGGGATTGATTGCTTTTGGCCTGCGCGTCATATTTGAGTGAATGTATTCTACCGAGTTTGATGCGTGAGACTTAGATGGCATCTGAACTTTGGCAGGGGACCAAATGGTAATCAGCTTGTTCTGGGGCAAAGATTCTGGGGGCAGAATGTTCGCGAACACGACAGGCTTGCTTGAAGTGAATGGCTTAGATGGGATTCGAAACCTGAAGTCGCCCAGAAGGTTTGCAGATACTTGGAATGTAGCACAGCCGGCAGCAGCTTTGGCTCATGAAACTCATGAGTTCATCAGCAACATTTGGGAGGATTTTGTCAAACTGTCACAAGTGGTCTGAAAACCAGAACCAGAAAAGATTGGCAACATGGTGCCAATGAATCTCGACATGGTGCCATATTGGTGCCAAACATGGTGCCAATTAGCCTCAACCGTTGTCACAGCAATGGGCACTGTTTTCATACTGTGGATGGACGAAATCCGGCACCACCTAAGAAACCCTGGAATGATGATTCCCCTGTAAATACCAACAAACAACGGTGTCCCATGGTTTCAAAGTGGTGCGAACGGATTTCATCCATCCACAGAATTGATGAGCTCAGTTGGTTGCTTCGAGCTTTTGGGGTGAACCTGACTGAGCAAGCTTTGGCGAACCCGACTTGATTCCAGTGAAGCAGTGCTGCAAAAATCCAACAGTTGAATTGAGCTCGGATATCCTTCAACAAATCAACACGGTTGTGCTAGCTCCAAGCTCATTGCAGTGTAGTTGGGACTTCTCAGCAAATGTTTTGACTGAGACATTCTTTAGCCGGTGAAACGTCCACAACAGTGCATGACATCAGAGGACACATGTCGCGCGGTTTGAAAGTCGTGCACAGCAGCCTTGCACAGCAGTTCCTATCAACATAGTGGACAGGGGCGTTAAGTCAAATGTCCCACAAACGAAACACCGGTACAACTTGCAAGCTACGTTAAGACCGCTCCGTTTCGTCCGAGATAGATAGACTTCCATTTGCTTTTGAATATTTGTTATTTTCCCCTGTTAGTTTTTTTAGGGAATTTATCATTACTGGGAATATATATTTTTTGTTTCCAGGAAGCTTTAGCAACGGAGGCAAATGATAGGCACGTTACTTGGCTGTGGGTCAAACATAGGTACCCAAAATGGAACCCTGGTAAATACAAAAAGGGACTAAAGCCTGCGGTCCATATTATCCTGGTGGTTTAATTGTGACTCATACCCACTTGTAGCAGCCAGAATTTCCAGTACGTTCATCCCTCGGATGTGCCAATCAAGACAGGCTGAGGTATTTTTATACTTTAAATGTTTTGCTCGAAATCAGGGCGTGTTTGAGCAGGGTTGTGGGATCAAGGGGTTTCTCCCCACTTCTGTGATACAAGGGAATCCCCCGTTATATGAACAAAGTAGTTTTTGGGATTCCGTTGTATCACAGAAGTGGATTCCATTCCCCACAGCCCTGTGTTTGAGGGAAGGTGTTGGATATTGGGCGCCTCAAGCCCTCAAGCCCAGGCACAGACAGATGGTGTTTCCACTGCTACCACGTGGGCGGCGAATGTGGTCAAGGCGGGGTGTATCCGTCAGCCTCTGGGCGCTCGTGGCTTTTGGATTGGGCTTGGCATGTTTGCTTCAGCGAGTTGCGCATTCTGCGTCCATTCTGACTAGGGCGGCTCGTTTTGCAGAGCGAGTATCGATGATTGTCATTGTTCCTCGGGCTTGAATGACATTTCAGTGCCACACTGGGCTCAGATGTTCCACGGTTCAACTAACACTAGGAACCATGGCATGTGCAAGCTGCAGGCAATGCGCATGTCTGTATATCTTGCTGTTGACATTTGGGAGCATTGGGCACATTGAGCGACACCTTTTGACAGATCACGCCAAAGGGAAGCTCAACTTTTGGGCGGAATCTCATTGGAAGAGTCGCGCCTTCCTGTCCGGAGCTTGCACGTTTTGGGCGACGGACTAGAAGCTTGTATATTGATCAAGGACAGCATGTGCTCCAGTTGATGTGTCTCAAGCCGCTTGGCATTTAAACGGCTTGAACCGACCTGATGCAGCTTTGATGTGACTCTGCAGGTGCATGTTGAGGTGCGCGTTTGTTTCTTCAAAGGCGGCATCCCACGAGCAAAGACATTGAGCTGATGTATGAAAGGTCAGATTTTGCGCGTGTGATTTCGAACTAAGCAACTGCATGCGGTTTAGATGTGTCTCACACGCTGATTGATTTGACCAGCTTCGTTTGTTTCAGGCCCTGCTGACGGTGCGAGCCATAAGATCAGAATCCAAGCGCGAAATTCATTCGGCCAGGGCTCTTCTATGACTTGTTCTATATGGCCGACCAGATCTTTTGGCCGGTTTTCCGAGATTGGGACTTGCACATGATCCATCGCATGGATCATGACTCGCCAAGCAATGCTGAGTGTGGATCAAGATTTCTGCGGACCCAGTGAACCACAGATTTTGTTGTCTTAGAATAGGCTGTTCCCTATGTTTGAGGAACAGCCATAAACATTGGCCTCATGGGCTCTGAAAGTCATGTCAGCCACTTGCTCAAGACTCGGGTAGATGAAGGTAACGGGCAGTCAGTCCCAACCAAAACTACGTCCCTTCCCCGACTAAACAACGTGGATTTGGGTAGACCATTTTGATACCGATCGGTTTTGATTGTGGACTCATGTGGCCCTAGATTTGGTTTCGTCAGGAAAGAGAGGATCAGAACCCCCAGATGGCTCCTTCTGAAGCAGAGGCGGAGAGCGCCTTTGCTGTTTCTTTCCCCCCAGTGAAGGACATCCGCAAATCGCACATGGCACGGATGAAACTCTATTTGAATGGTAGGCCACCAATCGGGCGTTTTTCGCGGATTCTGGTTTCAAACTGAAGCCTCAGAGCTTCGTTTCCCCCAGTTTGAGACAAACCCACGTTTCCCTTTGACCCTGGCCGAGCTCGGCGTCAGCATTGGATCAAATGCCCAGCTGATCCGTAAACTTGCATTGGTTTGACATTCCGTCAGAGGCGGAAGGCTCTGCCCCTGCTTCGTACTAAGAGTTGCTTGATGCAAAATCTTGGAACACCAAGAGACATGGCGTCCACTGCCGGACACTTGGCAAGTAAGAGGTAGCCACCAACTTATGTCAAGATGTACATGAATGACGTGCCTCTTGTGACGATTGACCCCTGGTTAATCAACCTAGATTCAAAGGTTGGTGTCCCCGAGAAGGGCGATTTTTCTCTTTTCCGCCCTACCCCTGGACTTGTGGACATTTTGAGTTTAAAGCACTAAAAGTTTACTTACCTCTTGAAAACACAACTGTTCAACTTTTTGGGGGTAACATGGGCTATATGTCTGTAAAAGATGAACACTTCCCCAGGTTGCTGCGAGTTTTCAGGGGTAAGGTTTAACTTCCGCGAGGGATCCATGCAACACTGAAAGACCAGGATTTGTCCAAAGGTCCAAAGGACCACGATCCGCGTTTTCCGTCGGCACACGTTAGCGAGGTCTGCTTTGGAAGCAGAGCCTGGGGCGGTAAGGCAGGGACGCCAAGTTTAGCGGACATGGGTTCCGTGTTTGTACGGCCACGCGACAGGTGGTTTAACTTATTTGCGTGTTGGTAAGCAAGGATGATGAGATAGGATGGTGTAAGGAGCAACAATTCATGATTATTGTTAGAAGATAGGAGTTATAATCTTAATATATTTTCCAACTGGAACAAACATATTTAATTTGCTTTTTACATATCTCTTCAATCCATTTTTTATTACACCTTAGAATTACTCTTCCGGCTTCTTCTTTCTTGTCTTTTTATTAATGTTTACTATAGGTGGGTCAACAGGAATAATTCTAGGAAATGCTGCAGTGGATCTAGGATTACATGATACATATTATGTTGTAGCACATGTTCATGTTGTTCTTTCTTTAGGAGCTATAATTGCTATCGTCTCTGGAATAATATCCAATGGAGAAAACATTGTTGGTACTAAGCATTTATTACTTTCATCCTCATGTACACTCTCTCTTTATCATTGTAATTTGATATGTATTGCTATTCTTCTTACCTTTTCCCCAATGCATTTCTTAGGATTTCATGTTATGCCAAGAAGATTCCCATCCTTTCCAGATGATTTTCATTCCTGGAATTACCTGTCATCTATTGGATCAGGAATAACTTTCCTATCTTTTCGATGGATATCATGAGACGATCGGTCGATGGCCAACCATACCATTCTGCACTATAAGATAGCTCCGCAACATCCCAAAGCCTTGCCCTCGCAAGTGAGTAGGCGCAATTTGTGACTCCTCTCACAGAAGGTTTTGCTGCAGCTCGAGCTTCGTATCGATGTTGTATTGAAAAGAGTCAACACATGTCATGCGCTCGCAAGTGGGAGGAACCATGATGCTAGTCAAGATTCAAACCCTTGGTTTCTTGGTGGCTCCCAGCCATCCCCTTAGCTTTTTAGCTTTCCATTTCCGCTGAAAGTTAGAGTCACTTTTTGGGGATCTGAAAACTGGCCCGGGTTTATGGGGCTCCACGCTCGCGCTCAGGCCTTTAGGTGTGATGCTGGATGGCAGCAGCCTGAGGGGAGGGAGGGATGGCTCTTTGGGTTTGCAGAAAACGTGTTTCTTGCATAGGTCTCCTTTTTTGGTCGGTTTGCTTAAAAAAATAGAGGGGGCCATCGATTCAATTTTTCAAAAGGCTATGGTTTCTTGTTGCTTCGTTTCTTTTTGTGGGGCGGGGCTTAAGCCAGGCGGGCGTTTCCAAATTGTGTGAATCAGGCGTTTCCCGAAACGGGGCTCAAGGTCAACCTGCTTCTTTGATTCTATTGAAACTCCACCTTGAGTGAGGCTCAGGCTGAGACGAAGGTTCGACTCTCCAGCATTCTTCAACCCTGCTCATGGCGTCGCAAGCTCCAACCGAAGCCGGTTGCAGCGCCTTGGGCATGGTGGATGGCAAGCCGGAGGCGACCCTGCTGGACAAGTTGCAAGCCGCGGGCGTGGTGAAGCCTTCGGTGGAGACGCGCTCGACGCCGCCCAAGCTCTTCAACCTGTGCCTGCAGGACGACCCCGACGGGGCTGATGCGGGGATTCGCTCCATTCATCTCCATTCTCTTGCGGCGTCAGGTCAGTCAATTTCCCCCACTCGGTTTAAGTGTCTCATTGGAGCACAGGTCTCTGATGGGCTTCAGGGCTTGCGTATGTGAGGTTCGATCAAGTACCTGATATGGCTAACTTGGGATGGACATGGTCGGGCTCCACGAATCGGTCATTGCCCATACACTAGGGTGTTCTGCGCATGTAGTGACTTGCACGCATGTCCAAAAACGATACTGCTGGGAAACGGATGGCGCAATCGAAACCTCGTTTTGAGAATTTGACAGGAGACGTTTGCAGATGACAAGAAGCTGCTCCGCCGGCTGGAGTTCGGTGCCCGCTCTGACAAGCCTGTGCGCACCATCATGTTCCTGGGTGCCACAGGCAGGGTTGGCCTTGAGATGCCGGGGGGGAGCCTGGGTGTCATGCTTCTGTTTGGTGAATTTTGCCAAGAGATGTTAGGACTGAACAACTTTTTGCCAACGAATGGGTTTTCCATTAAACCACTAAAAGTTGAACTTTTAGCTGGGGAGCAGAAACCAACCGAGCTGGTGTCTGGTGAACATGTCCTCATAATCGAACTCCTTTGTGGATGGCCAGTGCCTCATGACAATACCTTGTAGTGACGAGGAATCTCCGAATTGGCTTGAGCCGCCGCAGGAGCTGGCAAGACAACAAGTCTGAATGCGTTGGTCAACCACATCATGGGCGTGAACTTTGATGACGACTTCCGCCTGCTGCTCATTGACGAGACTGGGACCAAGGAGAACCAGGCGCACAGTCAGACCAAGTGGGTCACCGCGTACGTCTTGCATTGGCGGCCAGAGTTCTCCGTCCCCTACACGCTGGTCCTTGTTGACACTCCTGGCTTTGGAGACACGAGCGGCATCGCGCGAGACCGGCGGATCACCGAGCAGCTTCGAGAGTTCTTCCAGGAGAGTATCCCAGCGCTGGACGCGGTGGGCTTTGTGATCCAATCGAGCCTGCCACGCCTCACTCCCTCGCAGAGCTACGTCTACGAGAGCGTGCTGTCCCTGTTTGGCAAGGACATTGCGGAGAACATTTTGGTCTTAGCCACCTTCGCGGATGCCGGGAAGGCCAAGGTGACCGCCGCTCTCAAGGAAGCAAATATCCCTTACAGGAAGCTGCTCAAGCTGAACAACTCGGCGCTCTTTGCGGAGAACTCTTCGCGAGAAGACCAGGCGGAGCTAAGCGACGCGGAAGATGCCAATTCGGCTTTCAACAAGATGTTCTGGGAGATGCTTGGCTCTTGTGGAGCTTCCTAGTTGCTTAGGCAGCGCTTGTTCTCCGCAAAGGGTTGAGTTGCCGGACATACAGAACAACATCAATTTGAGAGGGCCGTGGGGCCATGTTCAGTAGATTTTTTCCTGTGGCCCGCCCGCTTGGCTTAGAGGTGGGCACAGAGACAGAGGCACGTGCTGGGTGCAGCTAAGGATGGGGCGTGTCAGCTTCAAGCACTTCTTCCTGGAAATTTCAAAGCTGACGCCCAACGCCCTGGAATCCACCCGGAGTGTCTTGAAGAATCGCAAGGATATCGAGGATCATATCCAATGCATCAATGCTGGAATTCAAAACGGCATGAATTTGGCTGACCAGCTGCGTCAAGAGATACAGGTTGGGCTGGAGTCGGAGGTTTTTCTTGTTTCGTTCTACTGATTCTTCAACATTGGGCTCTGACTGTTGGGATCTGGGAGGGGAAAACATAGCCACAGGTCATGAAGAAACACGAGTCAGAGATTGCGGCCAACAAGAACTTTACGTACACTGTGACCCAGAGCAGGACTGTGACAAAGACCTTGCCAGTTGGCTTGCACGTCACCAACTGCTTGAACTGCAACCTTACGTGCCACTACAACTGTGCCTTCGCCGATGACAGTCAGAAGGCAAGCTGCTGCGCCATGAACTCCTCAGGCACCTGCAAAGTGTGCCCGAAAGGCTGCCACTGGCAGATGCATAAAAACATGAGGTACCACTTCGAGGTCGCGCAGGAGACCGTGACCAAGACGGCAGACGAAGTCAAGGCCAAGTATGAGAAAGCCAAGCAGACGACCCTGACGCACAAGGAGCTTGTGGATGCTATGGTGGAAGACTATGCGTCGCTCCAGCTTCGGGTGAGCAAGCTCTTGGATGAAGTGCGGAAGAGTGTCAACCTTCTGCGCCAGATTGCCCTCAGAGATGACCCGCTGTCCCAGATCGATTACATTGACCTCATGATCCAGAGTGAGGAGCAGGGGCGCAAGCCCGGCTACAAGGAGAGGGGGTGGGGCGGGGGGGCGGGGTGGGGTGGTTTAGGACACAGTCGGAATAATAATCTTTGGGACCTCCAAGAAAGCCCTTGTGAAGGAATCTCTGCGTGCGCGCACATGCAGAATGAATGCTCAGGCGACTTATCGTGATTTATCTAGTTGAGTGCCTCAGGACGGGAGGTTTCGTTCGCTTTGCCAAAGGCCCAGGTCTCTCGTGCTTTGCAATCGCGTTTGGCGCATACCAGTGCCACGCCCAAGGCGGCAGCCATTCGCACTTGGCGTCGATTTTGCAGCAGAGCCAAACAGTGCAAGCCAATGAAGATTGCGTCGCTTGCGCGCTAAAGCACTCGTGATATGTGGTGTTGGCGGGTGTTTTGTGGTTTGGCGGGCACTGACAGTTCTTTTCGCTTGCCTGGCATTAGCCTGGCATGGGCCGCCTGAGTTACTTCATGGTGGCTGCCGTTGCTGATGACGCAACGGCTTGAAGCCTCCCGTGTTGAGCGCACTTGTGATTGGCACTTCGGCAAATGATGAATGGCAGGTCAAGCCTGCTGGGGTGGCTGTTGGTTTGCTTGTCCATCACTGCAACGTTGCATGTCACCCTCGTGTTCGATGTTCTCACTGTCACTGTGTAGTGCTTGTCTTTCATTGTTTGCGGTCTCCCCCCTCTTCTGCACGAGTGTCATTTCTATTCTACTGGACAGCGCATCTTTCACCCAGGCGGAAATGAAGACTTGTCCTGCCCAGGAGCGCATCTTGCAGCTGCAGCAAGTTCGGCAGGAGGTGGTGGTACGAGCGCAAATGTTGGCTGATGGGTATTCGCCGTGGAAGGATCATGAAGCAGCCATCCACGCGGTGATCGCCCAGAAGCCAGCTGCTGCGCCGCTGGGCAGCTATGAACGGGTTCGGAGAGCAACGGGCAGTCTGATGGTTTTGTTTGGCAAGGGGGAAATAGCAGGGTGTACGCTCATGCAGATTGCACAAAAGAGGGATAAGTCAGCCGGTCTTATGTCAATCTGATTGTAGAAGCCGATGAATCCACTGTAATTATTTGATTTTCAGCTACCAAGGTCAGAAGAGGAGAACCCGCGCTATTGGGCGAGCCTCATGGATAGGCTTAAGCGTTCGGCTGTGTCCTACTTTAAAGTGGGCGGCTCATGAGTCGCCTTGCTTTCGCCGCGTGGAGACGCGAGGGCTCGGCAAGCTCTTTATTCATTCGGTGCCACGGTGTTTCTAGTCCGACCTCTGAACAGGCCACGGAAAATGGCCGTGGGTCAAAACCAATGATGCCATTTTGGGGTAGCCCAAATGCTTCTTTGAGCGGCCGACACCTCCAATCCAATGCTCGTGGAGCGAGTCGCTCCCATGGAGCTAGTAGCTCCCATGGAGCTAGTAGCTCCTCGTGGCGTGCGATATTTTGATGCACTGGCGTTGGAACCCTCATCCATGATTTGAACTTGGATCCGACATTGTGCCCTTGTCATTAAGCTGGAGCAACCCCTGTTAGCTTCCACTTCCAGTGCAATAGCATGTATTCCGGGGTTGCTGCCCCGCATGCTGAGCACGCCAGTCAAAATGTGAAAGCAATGTCGCATGTGGCTGTCTTAACGGTGTTGATGAGGCAGGCAGACAGGCAGGCAGGTAGGCAGGCAGGCATGTAGGCAGGTAGGTAGGTAAGCAAACCATGTCATTTGATTTGAGGCTGCAAGTGGCTCTATGAGAACTCCCTTCGAGTTCGCGGCTTCCCCATCGCATGGACCCGAGAGCCTACCGTGTTACACTAAGGTTGATGAAGTGAGTCACTTGTGTGGTTGTTGATTTAATTTGATTTGTGTTGATTTGTTTTAATTTGTTTTGTTTCATTGCTTTGGTTTGTTTGATTGTTTGTTGTTGTTTGTTGACTTGTTTCTCTATTTTGTTGGTTCTCTGTTTGTTTGTTTGTTTGTTTGTTTGTTTGTTTGTTTGTTTGCCTGCTTGGTTAGTTGGTTGGTTGTTTTGCTTTGCTTTGGCTTTGCTTTGTTTCCTCTTTTGTTGAATAGGGGCACTCGTTGTTCTTTGACCTCCGCGGCCTCGATCCAGCTGGCACCAGGGATTCCAATTGCAGGGATACCCTATGTCCAAGCCTGGATGCATGCTGCATTCACGCCTGACAAGAAGCAACTCCGCTATTGCATGTCAGCCAAAAGTGGCTTGGGTCCTTTGGATTGAGAGATGAGTCCACTGTGGTCTTTGCACTTGTCAAGATATGGCTGTGGGTCAAAACCAATGGTACCACTTTGGGGTAGGTGAATTCACCACCCATTTTAGAACCCATTTTAGTGGTTGGATTGAATCGGTTGTTGGCTGGGGGCTAACCGATTTGGATTTGGATTTTGGGCCATGGCCACATTTTGTTGGTCGTTTTCCAGAGGGTCCGAGCGAGTAATGGCCCACGTTGGCCCGAGGTGCCCAACCCGTGCGCAGATCTGGCAGCTCAGGGCAGATGTGGCGAAGTCATTGCCTACCACAAGGCCAACCCTCGCACGGGATTGTGGCCAGGGCTGAGATCGAGTTGAACCGGGTCTGAAAGAGATGAACAACTTCCAGTTGCTTAAGAATATTTGTTTATGTTTTCCCCTGTTGGTTTGAAAGGGAATCGACGTCACTACTGGAAGTATTTTTTTCCAGGGGTCTTAACCAAATGGAAGACAAAGCTTGACCCAAGGGTAGAACTTTGGGTGGAATTCCTTTCATCTCCCTCCAGCGACCTGATTTCCACCCTAGCGGATGGCCACAATCGGGCGTGGCAAAAAAGTTCAGTTTGTTCAAGCTGTCTTACCCGGAGGCTCCCAATGCATTTCGGGCCCTCAAACAACCAGGTTTTGAGACCTCCGGCGTCCAATGGAAGGGCTTGGGTCTTCGCGAGCTTGGCAAGCAAGACTGAGTGACGGAACAAAGGCTGGACCAAAGACAAATGGGTTATGTTGTTTTGTTCAAGGTTGGTGGTTTTAAAGGGAAGCCAACAGGACCACCGCATGTCATTTTAGTTGTTAGGGGGCGTCCACTAAGAAAGACACCTTGCCAACTACCCTTTGACCTAAAGGGGTCTGTGCAAAAAAGGGTTGGATGCATGCGGACCAAGGGAACCGCTGATTGGTCCTTCTCAGGGTCCCTGATGGAATGACCCCGCAGTCTGCCATGCATGGTTTCCAAGGGCATTCCGTTTTTGATTCCCAACCAAAACCAAGCCTTTCGACAAGAGAACCAGGAAAGGCGTGGAGCCAATCTTTCCCTGCATGGGGTTAACCCCCCCCCACCCCCCAAATTGGTGGTTGTCCTTTTGGGTTTCCTTCTAAACCGCACTCAAAAAGGGATTCCCCCCCCCACAAAAATGGAACCTGTGTGAGCGTACCTAAAGATCAGTTTCGGTTGTCCTTTTCGGTTTCCTTTACATCCGTACGCAAAAGGGGCACCAACTCCCAAAAAAGACGGCGAGGAGCCACCCACTGGCCTTCCGCCTTCCACCTCGCGTCGCGTCGGATAGCGCGCGCACGTCTGAGAGCGCGCGCACGCCAGGTCATCGAGGGCCGCGGCTGCGCCTCAGAGCTCGGCGGCAAGCCGCTGAGGACGGGAGTGAGCTTGGGGGGCGTCCCAAAATCGGAATCGGTCGCCTAAAATTCAAAATTCCGGTCGCCTAAAATTTGGTCTATGGCTTGGTTTCCCAACTGCGTCTTGAAAAATCCACCCGACAACAGAACTCTGGGTGGTCAGTCAAAAAAACAAACAGTTGGCGTTCGGGCTTCCCCTTTTAAGACCCAAAATCGGGTTCATGTGGAGAAAGAGTTGCGCTTGGATTTGGATTTGGTGCGCCGAAACCACACACTACTTCTTGTGGCATGTTTAGTCAAGAGAAACGGACTGTGGCTCGCCTTGCCGGGACCAAACCGGTTGATTCTCGAGCGTTAGGTTGGCCATGGATTGGTTTGAACCCAGCTCCTTTTGAAGCCAGGGTACCGTAGCGGCCAAAGCACCAAAGCAAATCGCGAAGGGTTCAGGTGGCCCGAAAACATTCAGGTTCGGTTTGGATTGGCGGTTTAGATTTGGATTTGAAGCCCTGGTTCTAGAGGGTAAATGAGAAGCCAACCTCCACACCTCCAAAGCACGAATCCAAACCAATTAGAGGGAAACCTTTTGCAAAAATTGTTCAGGAAAGTACTTCTCATGTCCAGTTTCGCTTCGAAGCTGTTCCTGGAGGCTCCCATCGGAAGTACATGTTTAATGGGATCCCATTTTGGTTGGTAGGTGAATTTTAGTCCCCCATTTTAGGCGGAGCCTATTTTAGTGGTTGGATTGACTCGGACGTGAAAACTGGGGGTAGGACATGTTGACCCATGGCCATTTCACTCCCTCGGACGAACATACCTCCCAGAAGTTCCTTGAGGCCTCTGTCAATGGCACCAAGTCTTCCAAAAGGCGTGGGAGCTTCCACGTCAGCATGGGTAACCCCTTTGAAGGGCTGAAGGGCTACCCCCCAAAAGCAACGACCCTCTGGTGGTGGTGTCGGGGGTGCCTCTCTTCTGTAGAAAGCCGAAGGGAGTTGCGATCTGATGGCGCCAAGCACCACGGTCTGTTTTTTTTTTCATGGCATAATGGTTTTCCGTTTGTTGTTTTGCTGTGGCGCAAAAAGGGAAACCTGCTTCAACGACAGACACACCCAATTCTGAGGGCCAACTTGCTTCAGATGGCGTTCATTCTTGTCATTTATGCCTGCTTTTGGTACCAGTTTTGAAGTCCAGGAGACTCCAATTGTCCCATGTCCAGAGAGGCGGTGAGTTTGATCCATGTGGATTCTGAGTTCTTGTGATGGGTGCTGGTCATTTGGTCTTGCACGGGCCTAAACCAGCGGAGCGTGTCGTCACATCCTGTTCTTCCCCCCCCCCCCCCCCGTCTCCCGATTCCGTAGAAATCTCAACGTGGAATCCGGGGAAGGGGGTGACGCCTGGAAGTCGATGTGTAATTCCATTTTCTGTTCATCAGGCACAAAAAACGGAAAGACCCCCACCCCTCCCCCCTGAATTGTGTGTGTGTGTGAGTGTGTTGCGAGTTGACATGTGTCGGCATCAAGCTGATGAGAGGCTCTCCCTTGCCATTGACAAGCTGCCAGGCTTTTTCCTTCAGACGAGGGCGAGAGCTTGTACATAGGAAGCACCCAGCCGACGTACGCGATGTGAAATGAGCGTGTGTGCATCTTGCTCATAGCAATATTTAGCGAATGCAATCACAATGCTCGGAAGTTGGGCCGACGCTACAGTTCGAAAGCTAAGCTATTGCTTTGAACAATGTTTGCAAAACACTGCCCCGTGCAAGCGGCTTTTGCATCGCTCGTGGAAATGTCCGCCTTCCAGGATCAAGGTCGCCCAATTTCACGCATGCGACCTCAAAAGCCCATGGACCATTGCAACATGTTCACAGAGGTTGGAAGCTTCAACTGGGCTTCGCAGCCAAAGACGCCAAGGACTTCAGCCCTTTGACGCCAAAGGGCGGATCCATGGGATGCATACGACCGTACGACCGTCGAGAGCAAGAATAAATTCGAGCGCTTCGTTCGCCATGGGGCCCAAGAAGGGCAAGAAGGAGCCCAAGCTGGCGGGATCCGCGGATCCGCGGATCCGCGACCGCGCGGGTTCGATGGGTTTGGACGCACTGCCCCATTTCTGGCGGTTTCCCCTTCCCAATATCGAGCAATATGGGATGGTCGTTTGGTTTGGGGTGACATGGGTGACCATTTTTGGTGAAAGCTGCTGACCACACGATTGGCTCTGAATCAGCACGGCGAAGCGCACAATGCCGAAAGCCACTGCGCGAAAGCTCGCTTTTGCATGCACCAGTTTGGACAAAGTGCGCCAGTTTGATGGGGGTTCTGAGGGATAGGCATCGATCTTTGAGTAGGGATTGCAGACAACGAGTGTATGTGCTCCAAAGCAAATCCTGATGCGAGCACATGGCCAACACAAAGAGTCTTACACATGGCAGACATGACTCTACGGCTAGGTTTGTCACATGGATGTGCGTTCAGGTTGTGTTGGCACCTGGGAGCAACTAGCGAAACTGTGCCCATTTCTCGTCAAAGTGGCTCAAGTTGCGATGTTGTCCAAGCTGTTGCTTTCCTCAAAGAAATCTAACATCAACATGTGTGTGGCTTGTCTTTTTTTGAGGCTTCCTTCTTTGGGATAAAGGGATGCCAATAGAAACTAGAAAACACATCTCTTTTTTGGGGGGGAGGTCCGATTCCTAGACAAATCATCATTTCCCCACTGGAGAATGGGGGGTCCTTTCTGTCGTGAGGCCGCAACGGTGCCCAGCGTGAACTTGTCTTCAGACTTGGCCGACTTGGTCAACAAGTGCTGCTGGCTTTGATTGCAATGCTCTCAAATTGGAGGGTGGAAAGCACCAGCCTGACGCGGGTTGAGGAACTGGTGATTTGACCCTACATTGGTGCGTCTCAAAACCCGGTCGTCCTCTTGGCGTCCCTGCAGAAACCAACCAAAAAGCCTCCCCGAAAAATGAAAAGCCAACAAGTGCGCATCTGTCCTGTCCAATCCTCAACTTGTGACGTCCTTCACAGTAGTCTTGCATGAATCATGTTCGCCAGACGCACAGCAAGCTGTTGATCAGGATATCGGACATGCCTCGATTTCTTGTGCAGACTTGGAACTAGTGTGAGAGTTGGTAAACATGTTGGTTTCGCTCAGAGCGACTTAAACCCGGAAGACGTCAACTTCCCGGGTTTGAGGGCAACAGCTGGAGTCCTGTTGGCATGAAGTTTGGTGATCTATCACAGCAATGTGATCACCACGGGCCTGCTTGGAGTGGAATTTGCATCTAGGCAAACTTCATACACATGAGTGTTCGGCCACTTCGTGACTGTGATGGACTGAGTTTTGCTCTAGGCATTCATTTCGAAGTTGAGAGGATCATTGGCACAAGCTTTGTGAGCGAATGACTTGAAGTTGATCACACAGATTGGTAAAGCGATCCCATGGCCAAAGTCGTTCGATAGTGCTCTTGATACTGTTTGACCGCTTGCAGACGTATTTTTTGATACGATTTTAATATTGAGTAGAATTAATACACCATCAAAACCTCACCCGATGATTTGTTTTCTGAGCCTTGTGTGGCAGGAAGATCCGCGAATTCGAAAAGACTTCTGCTGAGGAGCGATGCAAGACAGGCAATGTGAAAGTAGCCACCGATGTTGCATGGTGGATACTCTAGTTTCATGTTTGGTTTCTTTTCAATGTTTCGCAGTCGAGGGGTCTGAGACATGCCCAATATGATGTTGCCCAGAAATGTACTGCACTCAGTGGCTTACATGTGTTGCTGACAACCTACTGTGACAGCTTCAATGCTAGTTACAACCAAGGCAGCAGTTGTCAAGCTGTTGCTGCGAGTGGATTGTTGATAAAACGTTGCACAAACCTCTGAAATATCTATGCAGCCAATTTGCACTCGTGGAACATATGTTTGGCTGAGTTAAGGAGACAAGATCCCCCAGGCACAGCACAATAATGTCTTGCCTTAAACAGCTCAGCAGTACATGTCCACACGCATGGTTGAAGCAAGCGCGATGTGTCTCCAAACCTTTTCTCTTGGCTTAAACAGCAAAGCTTGGCTACGCTTGAGTTGCTTGACAACCCAAGAAGATTGAAAAGCCAAGCTTTGGCATCAGGGAAGCTTGCGCTTGGAAGCCTAAAGTATCCGGCGCCCGGAAGATAACCGGAACGATAACGTAACGAGAACCACTTCCTTAGCTCGGGTGCCTCCATTGAGACCTTGCCCAATAATGGATCCGTCGCCATGAGGGTTTCGCTCGCGTCTTGAAGCGCTTCGTTCAAGTTCACTGTTGTAACGGTGTACCGGGGCCACCCAAAAGTTCGACGCACAACCAGTTGCTTGGAAGCAGTGTGAACGATATGGCGAAGTTCAAAAACGAGAAGTTTCTTCAAAAGGAACGCATTTTCCAGTGGAGTTTTGCTTTCCGGTGGCTCACTCTTTTTGTCTTAGTGGTCTCTGAACTGAGTCTTTGGAGTGCTTCCAGCCCGGTGTGGCCAGTTTGCTTATTTCACAGGAAACGGATCATGGAGACTTCAAGCTAGTGGAAAACCTTCTGGCATGCTCGGCACTAGGAACAAAACAAGTCTTCGTTAGTCTTCGTGGGGTTTGGGGCAGTGCTAGGGAGTGTAATGGGAAACCACCTCGGCGGTTGGTGGACAGGACTCCCCAATGGTGTCCACCAAAGAGTCCCTAATTCAAATTCAGAGCCATTTGGTTGGTTTCCGCCAAAAAAAGTCGCCTCAAATAGCCATTTGATCCTAGAGCCATTTCCTCGAGCCCCGTTGAGGAGAGCGAGAAGTCGCAGAAAGCGCAGAAGTGCCGAGCACGGACCGTGGCGAAGACCAAGCTGAAGGAGGCGGAAGAGCTTGGAAGCCGAAAAGGGGAGGTCTCGAAGCCTTCAGTGTTTGCGTTTGGTTTGCAAATTTGCAGTTTTTTGCGCGTTGCAAATGTGCGGCTGTGCAGCATGTTCATGTTGCATCACCCTTCAATTTGAGAATGTTTGGCATATATGTACACATACATTCAATAAATTCGATAGATTCACAGGAGTGTATGTGTCA